ACTAAGTTTATTGGATATTAATTATAAGTAGATTTAAGCAGTCATACAAAATGTAGTGAGTTAATTACTGATCTTTGTTCAATCCAAAATAAAATTTATTTATTTATTTGCGTCAAAAACAGTTAAAAACTATGTGTGAGGTGCTATGGGAAGTTCATTTGAAGTTATATTTATCGTTTAAAAACGTTTTCAAAACTAAATAATAATAATAATAATAATAACAACAACGAACTGTAATAGAACTTAGAAAAAGAAGAAAACTGCAGATACACATGCAAACCGCAACGCACGCATGTTACGAATGTGCGTAACTGAAAATCGATGCGCCCTGAGTCTTTAAAATGTAGGTTTCGGTCCCGCAAAGTAAAACTACTTTTGCTTCTTACGCCACGTTTGGAATGTCACTTAAGACATGTTTGGAAACACAAATATATATTCAGAAGTAACCCATCCCTTGCTCCGGAGTAAGGGTAGTCAGAAAAAGTTCAACGTTCATTACAGCACAAAGCTATTTTCACATTCAAAATAGTGATTTAAAATGTGCTACTGATGATTTAAAATGTGATTTAAAATGTTCTTATGGAATTTTCGCAGGTTCTACTAGTTTTATGTACAGTAAAGCGATTGATTTGTTTCGCGGTTCCATCTTTTTCTCTTCCCATTTCTTAAAAATTAGCTACAATATTATTTTTACTTCCTCGCCTTGCTATGTAAGTAATAACGAGAAAGTATTATAATCGGGTGGCGAAAATTGGCGATTTTTTGAGATAATTGTTTACTGTCGTGCCCTGGTAACGAAAAGGAGATAAATCTTCTTCCTGATGGTAGTAAATTACTTCCTATAACATGTTATGAGGTCAGAATCCATGTTTTGTGGCTCTCGGATACCGATAAATTGACTGAAGGCACAACGCTAGTGTTTCTCCGTGTGTGGTCAACGCTGGCCCCTAAACCATTTACACGATTTACTCCAAAATCGACATTCGTCAATCGATCTGACTAAATTCGAGGCTCGGCGGGGTTGAAAATGATATTTTGAATTTGGGGGGGAGGGTACTATACATGAAGCCTCAACAACTTTTTCAAAAATGGCTCCAATATTTTTTATTAAACGTTATCCTTGGATATCATAAAGAACGCTTGAAGTAATGCCGCAGATATTTTCGTTAAAATCCTTAATTTTTCAAAAATTGTAAAAGTTTCATTTTTTCGGCGACTTCCTACAACTACAATATTAAACTTGCAAATTGTTTCCTGAATGAAATCTGTTGTTCAAAGACATCTTAAAATAAGGCCGTGTACTATTTTTTGAAAAAAACAATAAGTTTTCGTTAAATTTTTGATACACTTCAAACATTTTAAATATTTATAAACTTCTCAAGTAATACCAAAAAGCGAGATAAGACCAAACGTGTACATGTATGTTTTCTCTAAGTTTCAGAAAATATTTGTCTTTCAAGAATAATAATGTTCTTCTGAAAACCACTACGCGAGTTTAAATCAACATAAGATGCCTTGAGCTGATGTGTCAGCTTTGTGTACACTTGTAATTTTCCATGTCTTTGTTACACTTAATATGTGCTTTGCTATTTGTTCTCAAGGTAAAAGAGATTAAATAGATTAGCATGTTTTCTATAGAAAATGTTTTATCTCCTTTTGTGTAGTAAGACTTTAGCTTGTGAATCAAGGTTTGAAGATAATTCAAAGAATTTAGTCATAATATTTGCGTATCTTTTCCTTGTTATTAAAATACTATTGTTAAGTCTCTTATGAGACAGCTTTGCAGTTTCTTTCAAATTGTGTTAGTAAAACAATTGTTGGGTTCAAGGGAATTACTAAACACTTCTAACTTGCGTCAGAAAGAACTTGTATTTAAATAAACCAATTCTTCTAATGTGTGTTTGCCACAGTCATAAATAAGAAACACAGAAATTGTGGTTTTATATCTTGATAAATATTTTTTACTTTGAGCTAAATACTTGAAAAAAAATGTCATTCGTATAAAACTCGTTAATGTCTTCCATCTAATTCTAAATATATGTAGCACCTTCTGTGTTTTGACGATTCAGTTCAAAGCCATGAACATCACAAATTACATTAGGGCCTTACGCATATTACGGAGAGGTCCGGGATCATCTAGTTAATTAACGTAATTTTACGCTCGTCCCAAAATCAAATCTGGGGAAGTGTATGAAGACAGAACTGTCTATAAAAATAACAGTATCTGGTTATGTACAAATTTTGCTTGGGAACGGGAAACCTTGGACGACTTTCAGGTACGTACATGATTTTACTCTTAATAGTACTGAGAGTACTGTAAAATGCTAAACATAAATCTTTATTTCAATTTTCAGTTAAATTTTTAGTTAAAAATTCGCAATCTTTTACAAAGTTAAGGAGGACATTGAAGAGGTTTTTGATTGAAATATGCTGGCTCGTTCGCTGTGCGCTATTAAAATGGACTGGTTACAACGCCTTTTTACCATGTAGAAGATCTTTTATGTCACACTGCAGATATTTTGATTTTAGATTTTAAAAAATGCACTACATTAAAGTTTTAATTGTAAGAACGCAACAAGTAATACTCTTGTTACTGTTTAGTTATATTTTTCCACATAATAATAAAACCTTGGCTGAATAAGCATGACGTAAATAAGTCATAAGAATCCTGAAGCCTCCCCCTTCCCCTGGGCGCAAGTACCGCCGGCCCAGCGCCGACGACGGGTCGGCCTCCCAGCAGCCGCTCATCGCCGCCACCTACCTCGTACGACCACGTGCACGGGATGCCGGCGAACTTCTGCACGCAGCGGCCCAGCTCCACGTCCTCGTGCGTGGTGTAGAGGTTCTTGAGGCAGTACTTGATGTGCGGGGCGACGCGCGCCAGCGTCTCGCGGCTCATGATCACGCCCGGCCCGCCCATGCAGAAGTTCTCGTCGTACTCCAGACTGAGCAGGCCGAACTCCTCCTGGTTGCCGCGGCCGGCCTGCCCGATGAACTGCGGCCGGCGACTGTCCACGGAGCGGAGCAGGCGCGCCAGCCGGTCCGCGCGCACGTACACGTCGTCGTCGGCGCGCAGGAACCACTCGAAGCGGTCGCCGAAGTGCTCCCACATGTACTGCAGCATGAGGAAGGACTTCTTCTGCGGCGGGTAGGCGTCGTCCACGCCGCGCAACCGCACCAGCGGCAGGTCGGCGCGGCCGGGCGGCGGCGTCGACGCGGCCGACGAGAAGAAGGCGATGCGGCCCGGCAGCTCGCGGCCCCACGTGTCGAACACGGCGACGGCGCGCGTCGCCAGGTATTTGTGCGCCGTCATCACGCCGGCGAACAGCAGCGTGCGCTTGCTGTTGCGCACGCTCTCGTCGGGGTCGGTCAGGCCGACGATGGCGAGCGGGTCGCGGTCGAGGGGGCGGCGGCGCGGAGCGGGGGCGGCGGGGGGCGCGGGGGGCGCGGGTGGGCGGCGCGGCGGGGGCGGCAGGCGTCGTGGGCCGGGGCGTCGCGGCGCACCCGGCGCGCGTGGCGTTGGGCGCGCGCGGGCCGCGCCGCAGTGCGCCTCAGCGCCCGAGCGCGCGCGACGTCACCAGGAAGCCCACCAACAGACCCGACCACAAGAAGGCGTGCGCGCCTCGGCGTTGCGCGCCATGGTAGCGGCGGGCGGGCGAGGCGGCTTCACCGCGAGCAGCAGCGGGGGAGGCTTGAACGTCACCAGCTCCGTCGCCGGGTGACACAGGCACGCGTCGTGCTCGTACGCGCTCGCCACCATCGCGATGCGACCCCGCCGGCGTCTTCCGTGAAACTGAGGGTTCTGACATCTTTCCTGCCCGCCGCAGCCGCAGCCGCTGCCGCTACCGCCGCCGTCGCCGCCGCGACCGCGCGACTCCGAGGGCAGGCTAATGCTTCCCGCCGTCTCGGGGCCATCCCACCCTCTTCTTCGCCCCCACTTCGCGGTGACAACCGGCGCGCGCGCGCACGCTCTCGCAATCACATAATGCGATACACACGAATAAATAGGGGCCTAGGAAGCCCGAGACACCATATGACTGCTCCGGCGTTCCCCCTCCACGTCACGGCGCTTGCCACGCCTCCCGAGCGGCTTTGGATCCTCGGCGGGCGCGGAGCCCCGTTACGTGCCCCGCGCTCTGCGGCGCATCTTAGGAGGGTCGTTCTTACAGGATGGTGCCTGAGGAGAAAGATGTCTTGCTTTCAAACCCCTCGAAATAAAATCCAATACATAAGTCATGTTTTCATTTTGGTTATACTATTTTTTAATAGATTCTTTCGAAAGAAAAAGAAACCAAATTGTAATTAAAACAACTTACAAATGGAAAGAAAATCGGAACTCACCATAATATGACAGCTATGTTACGTGGTCTCGATTTTCTGTCTCTTCGCGGTTTCTGTCTTTTGACAGGACGCACAACTTGCCAGCGACAAAGAACGCAGCATCCCGAACAACTCGCAAACGAGTGGAGCACGTTGTGATTCCTAATATCCTCGCTAGATGTCACGAGCGTTCAGCACAGAACGTTAAAGAATTTGAAGCCAGAATCGTCAGGATGCTATTATGACGTTCTTCCTGTGTGAAGCCTCATGCGTCTTCTGGCGGAAATACAAACAATTGTCCATATCAGTACATATGAATTTAGAAAATAAATTACTGATGCGAATTCTAGATTTTGTTTTCCCGCAATTTCGGGTTTTTATAATAATTTTATGTATCTGTTTCCTCATCATAAAATTTTATGAATAGTTAAATTATCAAGCAATCATTGTAAATCAGTGTTTTATAATATACAATAAAAAGTGAGTGGTATCGCTGAAGGATTTTGAAGATGCAATTCTTTTATATTTACCATTGATAATTAATCTAGTAAAGTTATTGAGTTTTCTATTTAACGATATTTATACCTAAACATATGAATAATTATTTTTAGTACATATGCTTACTTATTTCATTCACATTATTGTAAAAGAAAGAAAATAACCACAAACAAGATAGTTTCTAAACAACTGTCGTAGTCATGACGTCAGAACCTCATGCTTTTTTCTCATGATGGTCGATACGTCGTTACTTCCTTTTGGAGAGAGGCCATATTGAAGTTTGTTGTCTGTGCATATTTAGGACCCTATAGTAGGGGTTTACTTTAGTATTTATAGTTTAATACAATGAGAATGAAAAGTGAGATGGATAACGACGATAAAGGGTAAGTAGATTTCATATTTTAAGTTGTAGTACGGGCGTATTTAGAGTTAGAAAAGAATCCAAGTATGTGCGGTCAACGCTACCGCCATGTAGACGCTTAACTTAACGAGGCCGAGGTGTTCGGCGAAATATGTTAGTCTCATTTAAGCTATATTCTCCCTTTTTATGGAGATTTCTGGAAAACGAAGTGTGCATTGGCTTCATAGAGTATTGTAAAATAAGCAAATTTTGAAGATTAGTTGATTTTAATTCGGTAAATATGTAGCAAACTGTTCGGGCGTTTATGTACTATACAACGCTGACCTAATAATTATTTTATTACCCGTTTCTAGTGGTCTTCTGTTAGTGTTAGTATTATCAATTTTATATAAAATATCAGTCAAGTACTAAAATGCAGAATAATAAAAGAAAAGGCTTTATGTCGATAATTGCAAATGGGGGTTGCTCCTTTATTATGGAATATTATTCCGATATCGTACGTTTCTAAAATGTAAGGAACGTACGTATGAAATTTTTCAGTACATTATTAATGTGAGAGTTGGGTTATGAATCGTATACCAGTAGGTTTGGTTTGGCAGAACGTACGAAGCATGTGCAAGTTGCAGTAAATTCGTGGTTCCTCATCACAAGTATACATTAATGCTTTTGTTATAGTGTTGTATTAAATCAACCCTCGGAAATAATTGGGATCATTACAAGTTAAGCTGGTAGTCTTCATAATTGTGGTGTTTAGCATTGTTAAACCCTTTCCACATTGTTTTAGTTAACTAATTCATGATATAATTTAACTTGCAGGAAGTTGTTTGTTGGTGGGTTAAGCTGGGAAACTACTCAAGGTATGTGATTTTTAACAATTCAATATGTTCTGTAGTAACAAAGTTCATAAAATTCATATGCTATTTTTTTTATTCAGAGAATCTCCAGCGTTATTTTTCTCGATATGGAGAAGTTATTGACTGTGTGGTTATGAAAAATAGTGAATCGGGCAGATCACGAGGTTTTGGTTTCGTGACTTTCTCTGATCCTGCCAATGTTGGCTTAGTTTTACAGAATGGGCCTCATCAGTTGGATGGGCGTACTGTGAGTATTACATCAATTTAGTAATAAGTTTTGTAAGAAGATGAATGCAAAATTTTTGCTTCAGTATTTTGCCGTGTGCTGCTTAAGTGCAAAGATGTAATCAAAATACATTTGCAGATCGATCCAAAACCGTGTAATCCTCGAAGCTTACAGAAGCCTAAGAGGAATAACAGTTATCCTAAAGTATTCCTGGGTGGTCTTCCATCTAATGTTACGGAAACTGACCTCAGAACATTCTTTGCACGCTTTGGAAAAGTGATGGAAGTAGTCATAATGTATGATCAAGAAAAGAAGAAATCACGAGGTTAGTGTTGCGTCCTTGCTACGACATAATTTTGTCAGTTTGCAGTGCCATTTTTGTTAGCCTACATTGAAAGTTTCACTGAAAAAGTTCTGATTTTTACTTGAAATCTCTTCTTAAGGAAGGGAAAAAATGCTAATTCTGCAAATGGGACTGTAAACTGATTTACAGTAACATACAGATTCCTGTATATATTTTAAATTTCTACTATTTATAAGTAGACAGAAGGCAGTGTCCTATAGGGCTGGTGGGAATGTAGGGAAAAGAACGAAAAGGATGTTACATTTGGTAATGCTTGTTCAGGTGCTTCCATTTAAGATTTTTAGTTTCTTTACAATAAGGTAATTATACTTGTTCCTTGAGTGTACTCTTCATAGATCATTCAATTATCACTTTAGAGTATAATTGTATGAAATAGTGGACACTAGCCGATATTTCAGTTCATTTTTGTGACATTTGCTCTGGTGTAGAGATTTTTCTTTTTTAGTAGAGAATTAACTATAATTGTAACATTCAGTTAATTTTGAAGATGCTAGCCTAGCACTTCTGAGAGTTTAGTCTTTGCCGTTTCAATATTTTTTGTGCTATCGACTCTTTAACTGTTCGTTATCTGAATTCAGCTGAAGACAACAAATTTAGTTGGACCTTGCAGTGTGCAGCTGTGAAATGTAGGATTAGTGCAGAAATATTATCCACTTAATGTACCTTAATTTCCTTTTCCTTAAAATTTCAAAAAAATGATCAGTTTTGACTGTTCATTTGGCAGTTAAAGGGTTGATAGGTTTATCATATCATTACTATACAAATAAGAATATTTTATGTACTAGTTCCTTGTTTCATTAATGATTCTTGACTCTTCCAGTTGGTTTCAACAGTGTATTCTTCTATGTGTAATTATTGTTTGTTTTTTGTCTTATTAGGTACATCAGTGTTATTTGTAATGTTTCATGCTTTGGGGTGTTTCACTGCTGCCAAGTGTAATATACTAAACCTTAAATTCTGGAATGTTATGCCTATTTTACTATTAGCTTTCTGAGAATTGTTTAACAGTTTGCACCAATGGGCTTAGAATACCTTTGGTCCTTCATTAGCCATTGGTTTTTTATATAAGGAAATTTTAACAGATAAGACTTTACACCATATTATTAAGCAATACAACTAAAACTTTTCAAATAATATTTAAGATAGAGTTTATAAGGTACTATTGTATATTACTAAAATGTGGCCATATTTTTATTTATTATTTTTTTTATTTGTGTGAACTTTAGTAGTAGCACTTCTATGATAGTGGCCTTAGTTTTATGATTTTTGAGGGCTAGGATTTTGCTTTAACCCATGCCTTAGAATATGACGTGTTTGCCTAGAGTAAAATTTCCTGTTATTTTTTGCTTGACCTATCCTAATCCTGCAGTTGAAATGGTAACAATTTTTGTGAAATGTGTGCCATGAAGTCCAGTGTTTGTGTTTATCCAGTAATCCAATTTGATATTTCTCTACGACAAGGGTTGAAAGTATTTCCTTTGCCCAGATTGCTTTCTGTGTCGTGTGGAAGGATGTTTATTTTGCAATAGGCAGCAGTGTTTTAACCCACCGTAATGAAACCTTTCTAACTAGAAGTTAAGACGTCTGATTGCTTGCTGTGACACAATAGGCTTCGGGTTTTTGTCCTTCGAGGACGATGACGCTGTGGAACGATGTGTAGCAGAGCATTTCGTCAACCTGAACGGCAAACAGGTATAACATTTTGGTGCCGTTTTGTGAGGTTTGAGGGGATGTGTGTTTAACAATGGACCCCACTAGCTAATTTCCTGTTAGAGTTAAGATTTCTAATGTAATATATGGAAGTTGAGGTACAGCAAGCATATCATATTCCAAACATTTTTGTGCTTCCATCACAAGAAATTTTGGTGCGACATCCGCCAGAAGTCGTTCCAAGTTTTCTTGCTGTTAAGTAGTAACATCAAAAGGAAGTTTTGGGGTATGAATGATTCTGTATGTAGTGTAGATTATGTAATTATGTACTCTGTATTAATATGTTGACTACTGTTGTTTTTTTAAGTATAGACCCTTTTAAATGCAAATGAGGGTGTAGTATTTGGTATATCAAATAATTCAATTTTTCTGAAGGTTTTTGCTGTTCAGAGAGCTGGGCCAGAAGCCGCCAATTAGTACGAAGTTCTGTTCTGTTTAAGAAAGTAAAAATCTGCTTGAGTTATCATAGTCCTTCAAATTTTAATAAGTTTTTTAAATTATGCCTGAGTTTTGAGTATTGAAATTCTTAATTAATATCAGGTCTATATTTAAGAATATAATAGTGGTTAAGTACCTTTTGGCTTAATGGAGCTACTGGGGTTTGTTGTAAGGCACTATTTTATGACGTTTCACAGAATTTATATCGTAGATATTGCTGTTAGCTTTAATGATATAGTTCCTAACTGCTTTGGTTCTCTTGACATTAAGATAATGTAAATGTAGGTATACATATTGAAGTTAAATTTAAAAAAATTATTTCCTAAGATTGAGTACTTTTAATAGGAATGTCAGCAACACAAGATTATCAGTTCAATGTGACTTTTGGTAATTAAGATTAATTTGTTATGAACTGTTAAGAGGGAATGTTAGTACAGTCTTCTGTTGCAGACCTTCCTCTATTGTAATTTTACTGTACTTTAACTAATTCTGCAAGTGATTCGTTCAGGTTGAAATCAAGAAGGCAGAACCTCGTGATGCTGGGAAGATGGGAGATGGACCACCAAACCAATGGGGCCCACCACAAGGCCCTCCAATGGGTATGGGTGGTGTAAGTGTCGATTTTTTTTTCTGCATAAAAGTTTCTTTGATTACAAGGCTGAAGATTGTATGTTAATTTGTGAAAAAAAATTTTAAATTTAATTCGCTACTGAATGCAATCTGGTTCCTCTTTCTGAGTGTTCTGGTCATATGTCTTTGTGATTATATAACATAGTTTCAAGATAGCTGCTTATGTTTTGTTCGGTCAAAACGCAAGTGAAATTTTGAATTTTTCACAAACTAAATTTTTGTGCATGGGGGGGGGGGCAGTACTCTTAAAAAAAATGTGGATTGAAAAATAATATGTATTGTTTGGGAACTCCTGTGACCAGAATGTTCAGGTTTCTTGGTAGGTTTTAACAAACTTATTTTTACCCGTATTAATTTCAATAAATTAGCAATTGATTGGCACATCTGTATTATGGAATTTTTATTCTTAGGGCATGGGAATGGGAGGACCAAATGGCCAAATGGGCGGACCAATGGGAGGTCCCATGGGGCCAATGGGGCCTCCAGGCAACATGATGCAGGGCTACCAAGGTTGGGGCACCCCACCTCAGACTCAGTATCCAGGTTGGTATTACTGTACTAGTAACTACTAAAAATGGTTTGCCAACTTATTTAGAATTCTTAAAACCTACTGTATTTTATCCTGTATATGTATACCAAAAACACATTTTACTAACTTACAAATTGCATGTACAAATATTTTGTATGTATGATGAAGACCTGGTGCACAGCACTCCAATCCTGTTTAAAGGTAGAATGTTTCATACATTTCTGCAAAGTACAAATCTTTGGCATTCTTGAAATTTCAATTGTTTGGTTAGTATTTGTACCAGAATTTGACATGAGATATTGCACTAACATATCTAATGCAAAATCTTAATTTTTTCTTCAATTTATCTGTGAAATGGTTGCTTATTCAGGCCATACAATTTTTAGTATTCCCATGTGGAGTTAGGATAATGATAGGACTAATTGGAGACTTCAATCTGTGACTGCACTTTGGATTGGTGGTTTCTGTGAGAAATCGTTTTATTTGTAGATCTGTTTTTTCTTAAATTAATATAAAATTGCTTAATTAATTTAAATTAATATAAAATATACTTAGATTCAAATGTTTTTAGAATTTTAACTTCAGTTTCTGTTTCAATGTCAAAAAAATGTGCAGTAACCAATCTCCCTCTTCTGAAAGTATATCATTACATTCTTATCCATGAAAGACAACGGGTAAAAAATCCAAAAGAACTCTTTAATAGTATGGTTAGTTTTCAATTGAAAATTAGGCTTTTATTATGTTGGTATTTCTTTTATGTTAAAAAAGTCATTGCAATATGGGTAGAAGTTCAGTTTGCAGTGTTGCATGTTGAGTTCTTGAATATCCACCCCTGCTAGTTTACTAAACTAAGTTGAATTATTGCTGACAATTGCAATGAAAATTTTGGTCAAAAGGTGTTATTGCCATATCAAGAAATACGCCATGCAATAATTGCCCAAAAGTGTTATGAAATGTTCTTGTTTGTTATAATTTTTAGCTATATAGTATCATTTTGAAATGAATGATGCTGATGAACTTCAATAAGGTTTGATTTTTAGAAAGTTCTTTCTTCTCCATGGCGAAAACAATAATTTAAAATAAAAATTACATATTTGCTCTTTAAAATATCAAGACATTTGTTGTTTACACTGAATAATTTCTTCAAATGTATGAACCTAGCATAAGTAGTTGCACAAAATAATAAAGATCTTGAAAATATTTAAGTTCCTAACAATTGGTGTTCCAACAATATTACTGTTTTGGTTTCATTCTCACTAAATGTTCTTTAATTTTACTTATGGTTTTTTGTCATGCTAACATTTTTAAAACTAGATTGTCATGCTAAAACCTTTTAAATCAATGGAGGTTCTTCAATGAAATCGAACTTTGGTAATATAATTAAACTTTTAAAATATTTCACAAGTCGAGATTTTTTAAGAAATAATATGAAGGGGGCATGGCAAAATTAGCATATTAACAGATCTGTGGAAGAGGGAGAAAGGAAGTGAGTGAAAAGTATGATGCAGTTTAACTAAGTACTACGAAGCTTTGTTGTAAGCACAAGGTTGAAAACTGCTTCTCCGTTGTCCAGTAATAAAGAGTTCTTGAATAAATGCTACTAGTATTGTAAACACATCAGCTCTGATATTTGATGAGCCATTGTCACACACTTGCATGAACATGGTAACTTAGACATGATAGTTGCATGAAATCTTCAAACAAACTTTACTGAATGCAATTTCAAGTAAGTTGACCTGCAGATTAGTGGCTATTCTGAGGCCATGGTAAATTTAATAATGCCTCACAAGAAGATTGCATCAGAGCAGGGCACATGAAGTACCATGGCATGTTGCAAAGATCTGCTAGAAACTTGTTTTTTCCATTATGAAACAAATGGCATTCTCTTTCCTTTAGTGGCAAGAAAGCTTGGTGGATCAGATCAAATTGTTAATTAAAATGATTTGCAGTAAATGTATATTGTAGTTGTTTTGAAATTATATTAAAACAGTAAGTACTTTTGTAATTCCCACAACAACCCAAAACAAGATTAGAAAAGGGGTGAACTCTTCCAAAAATATTTCATCCTTCAAAGCAGAGGCTACTGAGCAGTTAATGGTTTCCTAAGGAATACAGTAAAGCTTCATTCATACATTTTTAAGGGGAGAAAAATGCAAAGTAAAAGTGTAGTACTAGCACAATGTTAGAAAATATGCCTATAAAATTATATATGCTGATAATGTTCGCAAACCTCAAGAAAGAACTTTGAAAAGGGTGATTTTAGACAATTGCTTTTCTCTGGATATACAGCATAAATTTCACCCCAAAAATTTGTTGAGAACCCTACTATCACATGTATTACTTAATTTCTGCTCCTGTCAGGCTCCAATGGAAGACTGATGGATCTTGCAAACCAACTACTAGAAAACTTGGTCATTGAATTGACCACACATTCTTCAGATTTAGGACAACTTTTTCTCTAGGATGCCATAATTTTTACTTACTGATAGCGTACGTAGTTAGAACGATTATTGGGAATGTAAAAGGGGGGGGGGATGAACTTACAATAATCACTGCTTCAACATGAAAAATGTAATAGTGCAAAATGTATAAATGGAGTTTACTGCAGTCTAAATTTGAGAATGCTTGCTTGGTGGGTGTCACGAATTAGCTTTTGTTTTGAGATTTTAAGTAATTCAGCAGTAAGAAATAAGAAAGTAAATCAGTTCTGTTGATATTTTCAATTATTTATTTAGAGATCTTGGTAATACCCGCTAAGATCATGTACACAGATCCAACAATTTGACCATATACCATTGTGTAAGGTTTGTTTATTCTATATTTTCTTTAGTGTAACTTATAGTTCTTTAGAATGTTACATGGATTGTACCATATACTTGTTCATTTCGATCTATTAGTAATGAAAATTTGCCCATGTAAGTTTGTAAGATTCATAAATTATTTGGTGTAGTTTAAATTACTTTATTTTGGTAATTGCTTACTTACTGGAAGTGGTTGCTAGTTTTGCTTGTCCTGTGTCACAGTACCAGTTTAATGGATTGTATAAAAGAAGTGTGGATTGATTCACACAGAACTATTGTTCAAAATAATCACAGAACTATTGTTTTTTTAAGCACATACAAGGAATATCTGTGAGCAGCATGGTATCGTATTTATAACCTCAATCTTGTAAGGTGATAACTTCACTATGCAAGTCCAATTTCAGGACATGGTCTAGCCTTCGCCTTAATGTTATTTTTTCCAGTGTGCTTTTCTAAGTTCCAAAATTCATTTTTGTGTTAATTGACAATGATCATTGTTAGGCCCAAGTCTTTGTTTGTAATAACACTGTGAACATCAGTTTCCCAAAATATTCTTTAAACTCACCCAGTGTTTAGTGATTATATGCTGTGCTGGGCACCTCGATCACTCTTCAGTTGGCAAAAAGACTTATGAAGACTTAAATTTGTTAGGTTGCCAATACTTCATCACTAAGGGTGTGAATGTGGTGTATATTACTAGGGGACCCAGCAAAGCTTTACTATTGCTGTGTGTTTGTCAGTGACACTACTAGTCACGCGATTGTTAATCATGTGTATGCTACGCTGTCCAAAAATTCTAAGGCATGAGAGATGGTCTCGCCAGTATGGGTTTATTCTATGTTCTGATTTGAACACAGTTGTCAAACACCATTTTGTTAAAACGTTTTCCCTCAAATTTAGGACATGAGTTTGCTGTGACTCTTGGAGAAATTTGATTTGCCTGAAATTCAAGTAATAATTCTGGCAGATATTTCACAATCACAGAGACAGAATACTTGTATGTAATCATGACTGACTTAATCCTCAACTGTACCTTTTATTGTGTAGAGTTCGTCACAAATTCATTTTTGACACTGCTCCCACATGGCTGATTTATTTCAAACAACTTTTTAAGCACTCGTTACTAATGAGTATCACAATGCAACCAATGATTAAGGCAGTCAATGATTAAGCAACTCTTCATTACATGTTAACATATCAGGGAAATTGGTTCATAATTTTTTGCATCATGTCCCCTGCAAAATGCCGGCTCTATAGCTGTCCATAATAATCTCATAAGCTGTACAATTACAACCATAACTTTCTGTGTTTGCACAAAGCAGTATTGTTACTTTCTGTAAAGTATCAATGGTAAGCAACTTACCACATAAGATCACATCCTCTGTAAGATCTGAATTTTTAACATTTTTTCAAATTTTGAACTGCAATATCTCTGTTGGGACCAGATAAATACTTGAAAATTGCACAGGTACTAGATTGCTATGATATAAACTTAAATAAAAATTAAATTTTTAGATTTATCTTATAGCATTTTAATAAAAAAATCAACAAATGTTCAATCCAATCGAAAATGCCTGCTCTAGCCTCAAGACCTTGCATGCAGATCTTGTCTAGTTGTAAGACAAGATCTGCGTGCAAAAATTCTACAAATTTCAGCTGATGAAGACAGGGCAAATATATCGCAAACTGAGTTTTGTCTTCGTCAGTTAGAAAATATTATGAATCAAAACATTGCAGTAATGAATGCTAATAATTGTGCAAGATGCGTCGCTCAAGTCCAAAGATTCATTCCTGTCGTGTTAAATTTAGAAGATATGGTTATGTAAATTATAATCATGTTTAAAAATTTATTTTGAGTAATGTGTTCGTGTCATAAATTAAGCTGATTTGGTAATGAGAGTTATTATTAAAATGTTAAAAAAGTTGGTTCTGAGGAATGTGTCCATAATTTCTTCATTTTGTAGTATTTATTTGCAATTTACAATGTAACTTCTGATAGATTTCAATTTGAAATTGCTTAGTCTCAATTGGAAGATGATAAGTTTCATTATGAAGGTGTTTAGTCTCAATTACATTACGTTCATTCCCAATTTGAAATTATTTGTTCTCAATTTGATGATTGTAAAGGTATAGAACATCACATGTACGAATTTGTTCACATTGTCAATTTGGAAAGCCTCTTACTTGGTGATGAATCAGTCCCATATTCCCTATTCATCCATTGACATGAATATTAGCCCCACGGGTGCCTTTACAATGAATGACATGTTCAAGCGCCGTGGAAAGCTTTATTGAAGGTGGTAGACATGGTGTGCTTCTACGTTTGACAACAGCGTACCCTGTGCTCTGTAGCTGTCAATCCCAAAGTACCATCTCCTGCAGTATAGCTATGTAGTGTAGCTCTGAATCATAATTCAAAGTTATGCCCAAGAACTCCTGTAGAAACTGACACTGGTGCTGTTCTCACAAGGAAAATATTTATAGGCAATAGTAGTTAGCCTGCATCATAGCTAACATGATTCATAATTGACATAAAGATAAAAGTGGTATATCTAAAATAAAAATAGGCAGATGTATTTTGTAAATTGTATGCAATGCAGTTGTAAGGTAAGTTATTTTTAAATAGTGTAATAAAAGGGAGGAAAATTGTTTCGACTAGTTTGTGAACAAAAACCTAAATGTTTTATTTAGAAAATTTAGAAAAATAATGTTGATTGATCATTTGATAGAATGTGGGTCTATGCGTAAAGAATCATAGATGTAGATGTAAAGAATGTATAGTCAATGTATTATGCGTAGACAAATGTAATCTAAGAAGACATATTTTTTGTGGGGCTGGGGTGAGTCTACAAGAACCACCTCAAAGCTGAAATTTATTTATATTTATCCTAAATTTGTGCAAAGCAGTACTACAAATGGATTGGATCACATCCAAAGGAGTACTACCATTATGAATAAATTTAATTTTTAATATATTTTGTTCATATCATGTTAACACTGTTTTGCTTCAAAATTAATAATGGAGCTGGTAACAATCATGACCAGAATTACCTTCCTCTTCTGTGAAATACTTTCTGGGTGTCCCTCTCTTGCTGGGAGCAAAGAGGTAGGAGTCATGATGAGGGCATCACAATATTTCTGCGCACCGGGTTGGAGACACTTAAAGGGAAAGAATCTGAGGTAGAGTGGTCCGATGTTAAAGTTGTAACATGTCAGTTCTGCGTTCTTGAGATGGTTAAGGAGGTTCTCATTTCATCATCAATAATGGTATATTTTGTTTGATTTACTGAATCGAAAATCCTCCAACAACTCCTTTTTGATGAAGATAACGCTGTGCAAAAAAAATTTAAATCCCATCTATCCATAGGCTATCCAAAATCAGCTCTCATTCTTACTGATCTGACAATTATCTTCACTAACATTGAACTCCCTAGGCTTTCCTTATCTGTCTAATGTCATTTCAAGAAATTTTCTCCACACATGATTTCTTCAACCACCATCATGAATTTAAAAGTTGCATCAATGTTATGTAACATGTTCTGTTTCATATATATCTGTTTGATGGTACTGTGTGAATGATTATGTGAAAGCTCTGAATGTTTTACCACAACGTTTAAACAAAAAAACCTTTTAGAAATCTATTTCATGATTGCATTTTAGGAGAGAATATTATACTTTACTGTTCTCTACAGTTGTGCAGTTTTGAATCTAGACAAGTCATTCTTGTTCTAGAACACCTTTTTAAGCAAATAACTGTTTAATTTGTTGTTAAGACTACCTATAATTCAAGCATTATAATCAATATGCAAAACAATGTAGGCTTGATTCATTGTCTAGAATGCTATTGAAGCGATTTGAAATTTTTTTAAAAATTTGGTGCAAAAAGGAGCATAAAGCCTGTACAGTACCAGAGACGTTACTGCACAGAAAAACCATCTGCAGACTAAGAGCATCACTACATTGAAGGGTTCGTGCAATGGTGTACATCAGAAACTTGTGCAACAATATTCATCCTTGATGCTTTTCAATGTTACTATTTATCTGCCAAATGGAAACCACCAATCTAAAATCTAACAGTTTAAATTATTTTGGAGAGGTATTTTGCTTTCAGGGTGAAGTAAGAAATTTGAGATGGATTCTTCTTTATTATTCCTTTTTGTGTGTCAGATTAGGTGTGGAGTGCTGTGGAGAAATTGTTGAACATTGTGTTAGTGCGAAATAACTTCTATTAGTAAAAAGATAGGGGGTGGAATGTATGAAGCTTTAAATAACTTGTGGAAATTAGGAATCAAAATGATCTTAATTATTTTGCTTAATTATCTTGAATCCAAGAAATTTCTCTGTACACTGACATTGTCTTTGTTATTGTCTGCAAACATTTTTTAAAGGTCTATTGTTTAGATGGGTGGTATTTTAATGTTGGTTCTACGAATTCAAGAAAAGGAAATTGTGTGGGATGGAGTAGTGCTTTGCTGTAGTCAGTAGTGTGCATGCATTTGGGCAAGGTTGGGTAGGTACAGAAACTCCATGGATTTCTTTTTATTTGGGATAGTCTATATGCCAGTATTGATTATCAGGTGTGCACATTTTTCTTGAAGTATCGTTAGTGGACCTTACGTTCCCTCAGGTCTTAGTCTCTCTGATCTTGTGCTGTCCATAACGTAAGAAATCTTTGCGTTAGATATTACTATGTTTCATTATCATTTCAGGCCATTGGGGCCCTTCTCCTTCGAATCAGCTGCCAGTTAATGGTACGTTTAGGTTGTTTAGTTGTGACTTGTACTTGTGCCTCAGTTGTAGTGTTAGTAATGCTGTGCTTCGTAGTAGTTTAGTGCTTTTGTTTGGTTTGATGTGTATTTGCTGTGTTTCTCCCAACCTTGCTATCGTAGATATTGTCATAGTTTTCCTAGCATTCCTGTCACCAGGCAAAATGCTTTGTGTTCTCTACTGCCTCAATAGATGGTCTGAATTTTTAGAAGATATGGGTAATGTAAGAAACGGTTTGAAAGGGAATGTATCAATGTATTATATTTGTTGTGTGAAGGACCTTGGAATTATTTATTGTTACAAAGGGATTTATGATTTGGGCAACATGATCAATACTCTTCTCATGTTTTGAGTTCTGCTTCTTTGGTGCTTTGTGCGAAATGCATTACAAAGAAACTTAACTTTTCACATGTGTTCAACATATTTTATAGTTCTGCAGGCAGCATGTCCATGTAATTATTTTGTAGGCTAATGAAAATGGAAAAACATTTAGGTAAAATATCTGATAGTTTTATTTCTTTGAGTATTGTATTAATCTTTAAATGACATGAATTACTCAGAAAAACAGGAACAAAACGTCTGGAGATCTTGAGAAAACTTCCGTTCTTAAGAAAAACTTTGTCAATGAATTTACAATTTAAAAATGATATTGTGAACTTCATGAAAGAAACATTAATTTCTTAGATTCTTTATTCTAATTTTTCAAACTGTTAATGATATTAGTATACACATAATATTCTGGACATTCTATTTTTTGAACAAGTTTGTGATCTTCAAAGGAGGAATTGATACAAAATCATAACCTATTTTGGTTGACTTCAGAGACAATTTTGAGGTTTGGTTTTCAAAATTCTTGAATGGGGAGTATGCATGCAAACAATGAATATGTTATAGGAAGAAATACTCTTCCATTGTGTAGTAGGTTTTGTGCTTTTCTGCACACTGTAGGTTATTCTGAGGAAACATGTTTAAAGATGAAGTTAAAAGTTCACAAGTGGACAGCTCAGGATATCTTGCAAAAAAATGTGTTCAACGTCAGTCACTAATCCCAGGATTCACCCACAGACAGATGCCGTTTGCAAGTACTCGTATCATCATACAATATTTACACCTCCAAAGCATTGAACTTACAGTACACTGTATTTGGTTTCTCTGTAATAGGACGCCGTTCTTGAAAGGCCCTTAACCAATGAAGGAACACATATAACATGAAGCCAGCCTTTCTGACAGAATTAATCAGCAAACAATAAAAATGGGAACTTCAAATAATTTTTCAAGTCATTTATATACAATAAAAATTGCAGCGGCCCTAAATGGGTTCCCTGAAGAACCCCTGAACTATCTCCAATATCTTTGGATTAATCTTATATTCAATGTTCTGAACTCTACCAATAAATAACTACTAATTCAATTTAGTGACCCATGAATCCTCAATTTTTAAGTTTCTGAATTGGTGGAATATGGTCAGCAGAATCAAATATATGCTGAATTTGGTGTATATAACATCTAGTCAAGAATTCAATTCCGATGTATCAAGAACAAAGTTTAATTTCCAGTAAATTTGTAGAAGTAGATCTTTGTTGAAAATTGTCGTCAATCATCTGAGGTTTCAACAAGAGGGTTCCTTCTGTAATTAGGGATTTCAAGTAGCTTGGAAATTGTATTTGATTTTGACACAGGTCCATAGTTCCTAGTCCATCCAAAAATGATTGATCATATACTTGTGGATGGAGCCAACAGAAATGCACATTGGACACCACCATTCTTAGTGTACTGTGAGCACAGAAGCTTCCTAAATCCACTCATTGTCCATGAAATATTTTTTATTAAACAAAACCTCTGTTTACATTTTGAATGTTGCGTAAGAGGGTCATGATCAAATGATCATAACCAAATAGAAATTTTTAAAATATCTATTGTTTCGGAATATTAAAATGTTAAATGAAATATAAAACTTTATAGTGAATAGTACGATTTCAAATTATGGTATTCCAAAAATTTAAAATTTGTTTGCCTGTAATATTGTGAGAACTGCGCCAACTTGCTCTGCTTCATCTCAGCTTATACTTAGGTGTATTTCATGCCTTGTCATAAAGATACGATATTTTTCTGTGTAATGCACTTCAATTAAATGTGTGTAAAACTAGTGAGTATTGGTGATTTGGGATACAATATGCAGTTGGAAGCATTTACTCGTTAGTGTTCATCGACTGCTTCGATTTTAGATAGGCTGTCACTGGTTTTCTAGTGTTCTGGATTGGTAGGAAATGAACTTAACTTGCGGCATATATTACAATCTTCGGCTGCAGTTTCTGTTACAGTTATCTGGAAGTTCATGATTTTAACCAACAGTCATAACACAATTTTCAAAGTATACTGAAAAGTTTATTTGGAATGTAAGTTAATTAGACAATGAAATTCTGAGTAGCACATTAACTGGCAGATATATTGCAGCTTGCTGTAAAATCGCATCACTATGTGAAATCAGTTCCGAGTATAAAATTCTCAATGTGTATTTTGATGAAACATGATGAGATGAGCTATAGGTGTGCAACTCAGGGGACATAATTTTGAAGACTAGGAATGCCATGAATACTTAGCATGCAGTTCTTTCATCGACTTGGTGTTATTTCTGTGTAGCATTGTTTTGAATAAATAAGGATACTTGAAATGATTGATAATCCATGTGAGTATAAACCAGTCATAAGTGTCGATAAAAATGCAGAGTTAATTACTTTCCAAACATTATTCTTTTGAAACCATTTGGTAATTTCATCTCAGAAAACAATTCATTGTTTTTCACAACTAAAGATAATAAAAACAATTCTTTTCTGCCTAGTGAGGTATTCGTATTGACAATGAATTTTGTTTTTTATTAAATTAAATGATTGTTTCACAGTTGTTATACTAAACTACAATTTTCATAACGACAATGTCCATAATCTGTAAAGGAAATGTTTGGATTAAGTGTGTGTTTAACGATTTAAAGAAACAAAATTGCCTGAAAAATTTTGAAACCTAACTTATGCAGTCTATGAATGTTTTTTGACAACCAGAAAGTATTGCTAACCAGTGCAAATTTCCGAGAAAAGTAGTGGGTAAATATCTGAGGTATTTGTGATCCTCAGAATAACTTCAATAAGGATTGTTCTATTTTTTGCAAAATAAATTGGAGGTTGTCCATAAATTATGCAATCAAAATTTGGAGTATTTTCAATATCCCTCTCCTCTCTGTAACGCACCCTTAATGTGTGATTGAATTTTCAAATAAACCCTCACTTAAGCTTGCGCGCCCCCCTCCCCTAGTCACGTAAAAGCAAGAAGTGAAAATAAATCAGTAAGTCAGTAAATTGTATTTATTTTAATTGTGTTATAAGTTGGAATTAGTTGTTGATGCTCACTGCACCTAACAAATAAGATTTATGGCAAATTTTGAGTGGAGGAAGGATGCTTAAGTGACAAAATTTTTTAATGCAAGATATGCACACACCACCATTGTGGATGATGCATTGGTGAGTCTACTGCACCTATTTTATTGTATTCTTCAAAATACTACATATCATTTTCAATATTTTTTTTGTAATCTTACAGATTCAATACAAAATTAATGAAAAAATATTTCCATTTATTATTACAACTTCTAATTACTTTAAATTATTTCTGTTTTAAAACAAATCAATTAGATAATGTTTTAATGTTTTGATATAAGACTCAAAAAAGAAGTATTTCAACAAATGAAAAAAAGAAAATCAGTCTTGTGTAACACTGATCAAATAATCCCCTGCCCTTATGTAACGCTGCCTCAAATCCCCTTTACGTAATTTATGGAAGACTCCTTACAATCATCAGATCCTAATAGATTGCTGAATTTCGTCAATTTTAGTTTGTTTATTGAACTACTAAAAATTATAATATAGAAGTGATTGAGATATAGTTTAATTTGGTTGGTGTAAATTTAGTTTCATGCCCTTTACTGCAAAATTTGTTTAGAATTGTTTTTTGTAGGTGTCGCCAGATTTCATGGTCAGTACAAGCATGTTGCTGAGTTATTGCATGATGTGTTGATGTAGTAGCTTTTTGTTTATAGAAATAATTTTTTTCTAGATTACTGACAGGTAAGCATTGACTTCATTTTCTACATTTTTTGTGTACATGGAATCCTGTAACGAGTTACTCCTTTTTCAGTTGTTACAAGCAATAAAGTACGTTTGGAAGAATTTTGAGGTCTTTTGTACTAAAGTTTAGACATTTATTAATATGGTTTCTCACATTGAATTATTTAGTGGAAGGGTTATTTGAAGTGTTGGGTGCTGGTGGTTAGGACTCTTCTTCCAAATCTAAAACTTCTTTTCTTTTGTTCTCAGCAGTTTTTTCTTTTAATCCTAAATAAGAATTTCATGAATTCTCCTCGTTAAGAGATTGTGCCAAATGACATTTTTTCAGTGAAAATGTTTTCTCTTTGTTGGCTGCAGAGTGCATGACATGCTTGCTGGAACCAGGTTTCATGATCAACATTGTGTAAAATGAGATGTTCAGTTGGGAAAGTGCTTCACTCGTGGAAGGTGTTCTTTATTTTTGCTTCTGAAATTATAAGTTGTTTCTGAAGTATTAATTTTTTGCAATGAACATATACCAGTACTGAGGCTTGCTTAATGCACTGATGACATATTGTTGTACTGTGCATTACATTAACAAAACGTTTATGAACTATGGTAAGACAAATTCCTGCTGCTTTCTGGCAAACTTTGTCATTTGGTGTTCACTGCTGCCCCTACCTGCCTCATGCTCTTCATGTTAATTGTTTTGTTTGTTATGGGTTTTGCTTTTTGTGCAAAATGCCACCATATAAAATGCACCTATCTAGAAAATTATTTTAGAGAACATAAAAGTTTTTTATTAAAACAATGAAAAAACTGACTATAAGAAATTGAGGACATTTTTTGTCAGAATTTGGAGGTTCCATTACAAAAATTAAGGCAGTGGCAAAATGAAAAGCAAAAACAATTATTAATTTCTGAATGTATTTGGCCCAGTTCAGCTTGGATATTTTCACCTGGAACCAATTTAAAATTGATAAAAAATGGCAACAAGGATTTGCAGAGCAAATGTTTTATGTAATTAGAAAGTTTTAACGAAAAAGATTGACCCAACATTTATATTGTAGAGTAAGTGGGAAAATATACACAAAATATAAAAGTCTTCACAAGATCGTCAATTGACTAAGACTTATGAATGTCTAGTAAGAGTAATTAAACATAACTAGCAGTACAGGTGGGGTAGGAGACTTATGAAAGCCACAATTCACAATTTGGGGATTTTTCTGTATACTTTATTGGTATTACTGCAAGGCTTAGTTCCATTCAATTAGGTTAACACTTGCCTCTTGACAAAGATAGATGAAATGTGCAAGAGCATCTGAAAATACATTAAGTAAATTTACCAGTACTGTCAATCATACAAAATTTTACATTTTTAGTATAATGGATTAAATGGACTTCTAATAGTTGTCTTATGTACATGTTAAGGACATATTAAATATTAAACAATACATTGAACAGGTATGTTACCTGGTGCTTGATTTTGTTGGTTGTCTCCTATTAAGCAGAATATAAATCTCTTCAGTTGAATGATGTTTCATGATGTAGTAGTGCAACGTGACTATGGAAGAGATGTTGTGATATAGTATGTTCTGTTGGTTGTATAATTAATTATAATTCTCTTTGGAGAAGGTGTTGATGGATTGTACAGTATTCCATGTCTGATGTTGATTTCATTATTTATTTTCATGTGTGTTTAAAGTTGCATTGAAGAGTGAAGGAATTTATTTTCATACAGGTTATGGGACTCCCTCTGGTCCAGGAGGTTATCAAGGCTGGGGGGCACCACCTGGTCCACAAGGTCAGCAGATGCCGCCACCACAGTGGGGGTCCAACTACGGTGGTCCTCCACAACAGCAAGGTTATGGGTCATATGGTAATAATTATTTGGTCTCAGATAGTAATCAATGAACATCAGTTCATTTCTGAAATGCCTGATATTCACTAAATGTGGCATTTTCTCTTTTCATTTTATATTCTTATTTGGAAGTATGTTGTGTATTAGCATTATGTTACTTGGGTCTGTGTTCTTGGTTTTAGCATTTTTGTACATTCAATAAAATGGGGCTACAATATTTTTGTTTTGTAAAGACAAAACTGCAGTTGTTAAATATAGGTACAACAGATTAAAAAAAAATGTTTCTACCGTAACTTAATTTCCAAGTTCAGTTGCTTCATATTGACATTAAGTTGCATTCACACCATGTGTCTTTATGTTCAATTTTGCACATGCAACAGTGTGTGTAGGGTGTTGGCATGCAAAGATTCTCAGAAACAAAGGACACGTGTGATGGTGCACGGGCAAAGAACAAATGGTGTTCAAAACAATTACCATGCATTTCATGCTCTATTTAAGCCTTGCTTAGTTTTTAGAGCTCCCAGATGTACGTTGGTGTGTGTATTGAATTGTACAAAGTAATGATACACTTTTGAATATAATATTGTGTCCAGAAATGAGTATTATGTGTAGTGTATTGAAGGCTGCTAGAGAATGGGGTTATGTATTTTAAAGAGAAACATATATTTCTGCTTTAGCACAAAATATACTATTTACTACATTACAAGATCAAATATTCTTCCTTCATTAATAGATACCTTAAAATTTTCCTTCTTACAATGCTTTTCTCTTATTCTTTTGCTTGATTGTGAGGATATGCTGTACGAATCCTAAGCGTGTGGTCAGATCCATTGAAAGACAGGGTGGAATAGTGTGGATAATGTAGTGCATTTGTACCTGGTTGAACATGTATTTCAACTTATAGCACTCAATTTTATTTGCGAAAAGACACATTGTGTAGACGCAGCTTTATTGAATCGGTACACACTAGACTAAATTATACTAAACGTTCTGTAAACAAATTGTGTTTCAGGACCACCACAAGCTGGTCCACAGTCGGGATATGGGGGAAACTGGAATTGGAACATGCCCCAGAATGGTCCTCCAGCTCAAGGAGGTCCACCTGGCCCCTCACAGGGACCACCTGGACCCCAAGGTGAGCTTAGTGGGGTAGGGTAGTCTGTAATATAAGGAGGGAAATATGTCAATCTATTAGTATTCCTTTGAAGTGGGGGAAATATTACTATTTGTGTTGCTTCTTACTTCTTGCATCATTATTAAGGCCCTTTTACATGGTACAGTTTTTTGCAGATTGAACATACGGGAATAGGATGTCCAGACCATGCTTTTGGCATGAAAACTTTTGAACATGTTCTATTTTTTTTATACAGAAAATTTGGACTCTAGCAGCAGACTTCTTCACTAGCGTCTTTGTTTATGGGTTAAACTATGTTATTTTCAATTTTATGCTGAGGTTAGATGCAGTTTGTAAGATTTTGTTTTGCCATTGTGGATTCGAATTCTGGACTTCCTTGGGAAGTTTTATTTCACTGTTTTGTGCAAATGTGAGGTTACTGTATCTCGCTTGTGCAATCTGTTCTTCCTGCATGCTCTGTAAAGCTTTTGCAGACACAACCATGCTTGTAGTGACAATAATGATGACCATTCTATTTTTTTCTCCCTATGTTTCATGAATACTTAAAATAAAGTGGCTCAGAGTGTACATGTTAAATGTTGCGAATGATTAAATTTCGAAGTCGTAGGCTTCCGCGGCCAGAGTCATGTGCGTGATCTGGGCTGTCCGGGTGAACCCGTGTCGAAGGCTGTGTTGCGGACATTTCGACCATCCTGTTGTGTTCTTCCTCAGGGCTGGTATCGGCAACACAGCCTTCGACGCGGCATCACCTGGACAGCCCAGATCACGCAATGATCAAAATTCGGACAGCGCAATTCGGGAATTCATTTTTACTGGCTGTCTGTGGCCGGTGTAGTGCCAAATCACACAGAAAATTATGCCTAATGTGCAGACCATGTAAACTTGACTTTTAGGTTCTTGTACTTCTAGTTTAGGGACTTGAAAGTTCTGTATGCGAATCTTCATGAAAACTGTACCTTGTTAAAAGACCTGTATAATAGTGTATTGACAATCCTGTTTCTGTAATGCTGGGCTTACAGTAGAAATGTTTCTGCAATATCTTTCGGCAATTTGTTTCTGCTTCTTATGGTAATCTTTACACTAGAGAGAGCAAGGCAGGGCAATTTATTGACAAAGATTTGAGCAAGATCTTTCAGGGAAGATTTTGGCGATCGTTTTACATAGGACTTCCTGTAGCGATGATTGATGTTGTCATGAAGAAAATGGTGTGTAAACATAGGCAGGCTTAGCGCTCACAATTTTCCTGTGGCAATTAGAAGACAGAAGATTTCACATTAACATCCTCAATGAATGAAAATAGCAAAAAATTCAATCAACAGTGGGAGAAAAATCTACTTCGTGAAATGTGTAATAGCTTTACCAATTTAGTTTTAAGAACAAATTATCAAAAATTAATTGTTTCTTTCATAATATTATTGCACCAAATTACTCTTTTTACACCTATTCTCTATGCCAGTCTCAATATTTTGTATTAAACAAAATGTTTTTGTGGACTTCACTTTCATTTACATCGGGCCAAGTAATTTTCCTTTTAAAAAATTGCAATAATTAATTCGGTTAATACTTTAATAGATTCATATCTTATTAATTTATAATATAAAATTATAATCTGGGATATCTATATGTGAACCAAAATTTGAACAGTTTGACAATAAACTTTACAGCGGGTTTACAATATTTTCTACTACTTTTTTTCCTGTATTAAACCTTTTCCACTCATTAATTTTATTGAACAGCAGCTTCCATCAATATTTTGCTCAGACTCCAATCCAGTCCTAGTCCCAGCTGGGAATAACACACACGCACATAAGCCCAGAATATTGTCAACATAAGAAATATTTATTGTTGGAGTGGTTACATCTGCAACTTTTCTTGCTTGTGTAAAGCCATTATACTTAAAGTTTCTTGCTGGATTGATAAAAGATAAATAAGAACACTTCACTAGAAATCATGTGTATGAGGTTCCACATTCTGTATATTATACAGATACGTAGAGAAACTACTAAAAATGTTATGAGAAGTATATTCGGAATTAAGGGTAACTAGTAGTTCCTTTGTAAATAATTCTTAGTGTTTTCTAATGACATACAGCAATAATCACATTCATTTCATTCTCCCTGAATGGTTAAATTCTTTATTCTTTTTTTGAAAGGAAATTATATATCCAAGAAATACTTCTTGGATTCAGTGCACTTCATTCTTTCAGCATCTGTTCGATTGAAGAGTTTGTAGTAATAGGTTTTGCCTTTGTGAAGTATATAATGGTTTAATTTCATTTCTTCTATTTGTAAAGATGTGTTTAGGGTGGTGGACTAACAGTCTTAAAATGGCAGGAATAATAAATTTTCAGATTTCGAATGATAATTTGATATGAATCTGTCTAATGATTATATCTTGGTTATGACTTTTTCTTATTTATAAACAGGTAATCAAGGGTTTCTGATTTTGTAGGAACATTATTAATCAATAAATAAAATTGAAGATTTCTCAAGTGCTTTAGAAAGTGTGGGGGGAAAAGTACTGTATGCGCAAGTTTTCTTGATTTTCCGCAGCGGGGGTGCGGGGAGAGGCAGGCTCTGGATACGTCATGGTTTTAAATGCTTTCCAAATGGAAATGAACTTGACTTGCCAAAGCATGACACGAGAAATGCTACAAAAGTTTTGTAAGTACTATGTGACTATTGCCAGCATTGAAATTGGTACGAGCCTTTAAGAGTTGAACATAAGTATCTGAACATGCAGTATTATTCAGCGCTGGGCAAGCACTCGGGGGGTTCGTGTATCAAGACAACTTGCATGGGTAATTTGAAGGGAAAACTTTAAAAGTTTCACAATGCTTGAAATTTTTTACTAGCCTTAAAGTTCAGTGAAAAGCATTGTGTAGTCAGTACTCGTAGTGGAGGCATATTAATGAAAGTATCTTTGGTGTCTTATCAATTAGTAGTTAAGGTTCTCCTATAATAAACGGAACACGTTTAAAATGAGTTGTTTTGCATCCATTTGTGGCTCTCCCAGTTAAGTTTATAACAATCTCAGATATTGAAGGAAATTGTTCAGGAACTATGTGTACTACACAGAATTAACTCTAATGTCTTGTCAAATCATACACAGTTATATTTTATTTATTTGTACCAATTGGCTTTGTACAAATAAATAACAATTCATATATTAAATTATAAAGCTATAAGTATAATAATCAATATTGAGTAAAAAAATGATGAATGCATATAATGAAAATGTACTAGTTTGTCGTAAGCTTTAGGTTTGGGTCATATAGGATCAATCTTAGGTAGATTCCAGGAATTAAGACTGGTAGTTTATATATATTTAATAATGTCTCATCGTTTATCATGTTTCTTGTCAAGAGCAATTTAGAAACCTATGTGAAGCTGACATCTATCTACGATATCAAATGAGGAACAGAACGAATAACCAACAACTTCAATATAATTAAAATTGTGAGGAAAATTTCTGTGAAATAAAATAGTTCATTCTTGCGCAAAAATTATTGAAAATTTGTTTCGTTTAGATTGCATGATATTTTTTTTAATTTGACAAATATGATAAGAGTTCTCCAAAATAATTTGTCAGGACGATATTTACTTATCAGGTTTGCTATTGTTTTTTTTGGACCATTATATAAATAGTTTTTAGACTTCCCTTCCAGATCAGAGACTGCAGCACAAAAGCCACATAAATCTATGCTCGTGCATTCTCCTGAACTCTTTTAGCTTCTCTACACAATAAGCACACATGTGATACATCTACCATTCCATGCATTGCTATGAAATTGTGTTGATACTACCTTAGTTTATCCTCTTGTTTGAAGTAACATGCTTGAAAGTACATTTACAAACAAAATATTTTCGTCATTTTTTACAGAACGATTTTATTGGTGTCGGAGTATGGGTATCCTAGACATGCAGTCAGTCTGTAACTGTGTACCAACATTGATTTCTTTAAATCCACTTTGTCACATTGGATATAAAACACCTAATAAGTTAATGCTGTTTCTGTATTTTCTTATTTTCTATTGCAATATTGTAGTCTTAACAATTAAAAAAATGTTGAGGATTCATTGTTATGAATTAATGAATGAAGGGTAATAAAGGAAGGTCATTTCTAAGAACCATAATGAGGGTTTTCGATACTGCAATTTGTTAAGAGAAATTTTTTTTTCGGAAGCTATTTTGATTAAAGATTAAGAACGAAGATGTACCTGGAGTCAATAAAAACTCCACTGGAAATTCCTGCTGAAGTTCATGAGTAGAATGTAAAAAGAATGGTTTTGGAACATGCTGCTGTTCACAAATAAAAAATTATGTAAGTTGTAATGAGTGATTTAAAACCCCTTCTATAATGCATTTCTTAATATCACTGGATAATAAGTAGAATAAAACAATCTAAGATAACCTATTCATAGGAATTGCAAATGATGCTTAGGAAAGGCAAGAAGCAATGTGTGAGTGGATACTGTAGTTAAAAGAACAGGAGGAGAATTATTCACAACTTCTCAAGAGATGTTCTTGAGAACAGTGAAAAATAGAGGATTAGGGAAAAGTGAACAAAAATCAGAATTAATTTTCTAGAAAGAAAAATTAATTTTTATGCTCTTTTAATTTTGTGATATTAGACAATTTTGATGTTAAAATTGACATTCTGCGATAAAAGAATATAAAAACTTTCACTTTTCATAACCGTTGTTTCTCAACTCGGGTGTTACAAGCTCTAGTATTACCCTGCGGAAATTTAGCTTGAATTCTGATTTAATTCAGGGACATGGGGTGCTGATGTTGTTGTCTGTGCAGGACCTGGAGGAGCCCCGTCTGGTCCTGGCCCAGCTGCCCCAGGAGCCACTTCAGCCCAGAAGGGTGGAAATGAGTACACTGGATATGGCAATTATGGTAATTACCAGGTAGGTGTGATTTCTTTACTTCGTTTTTGTGTATATAGACGTATTTGTTGTAATTATTAGAGATAAGATTAGAAATATTTTAAAATTATATTTATAGAAGTTTAGGAGTAATAATAGAGAATAACAATGAATTTCTTTAAAAAATTAGCAGGGTTCTTTAAAAAAAAAAATTAACATTTTGTAGGGAATTTATTATAATGTTGGTCTTCCAGATATTTTATATGAAAACGCAATAATTTCTTGAAATAATGATTTTATTGTAGTATCGAATCTAGGATTTCAATTTCTGTGGAAAGAGGCAAATGCAATTTGTTGCTTCAGGATTCGACAAGTTATGGAGGTGCCCGGAGCTACAGTGGTGATAGTGGGGCACAATCATCAGGTGGCTACTCTGCTCATCCACCCATTCCAGGTGGGAAGCCATTTGACTTTAAAGAGTGGCCCTCATCGTGACATACTGGGCTGAAATTTGTGGTGACGTCTCAATGAGACTCTGTTATGTCATAGGCGCTGACTCTATCCCAACTGTTCGGGAAGTACTCGGAAAACATATACGCAAATATGAGTGGCCAAAGGTCTTAACACAATTATAGGATCAAAATCTGGGAAGGCAACAGTCTGATTAAGGGATGTATGAGCAAGGGTGGAGAGATTGAATATTATGTTATTTCCCTTCTTCATTTGCAAAACATTGTGATTAGTGATACACTAGCATGATTGTGTACACAGCATTAATGATAACTGGTATGTTTGATATAAAGTATTAAAAATGAAAGTTGTATAATTTTAAGAGAAATATGTGTATAGTTAGATCAAATATGAAATACACGATTACAGCATAGATAATAAGTTCCAATGGTGCTCTGAAATGAAGTGTACAGTCAACATCGTCATATGGGATTTCAAGTAGTAATACTTGTTTTAGCGTATATGTTCCAGTATTCTGATACTACCTTTGGTTAATGTCCAACAATGCAGTTATATGTTCAATTAATGATAGGTAATATAGTTGCTTAGGTTTGGTAATGAGTTATTACACTACAAAATATAAATTAATTACATTGTGTAAGTAATACACATAACTGTAAGTTAACATAAGACTGCTCTGTGATTTATTACATATGTAATGCTAGTATATAGGGCGTTTTTCTTTGTTCTGCTATGGACTGCTCAAAAAAGAATGGTTAAACTATCAAAACACTGTAAATATATTTTAAGCATATTAGATTGGGAACACAGTACTTTTTATACATAGTACAAGATATATTTTGTTATTGGGTTCATAATTCATTGTTAATACTTAGTCATTCTACATGGCAGATGTACATTGTACCTATTAAAACAGAAGTGTACCTATTAAAATTTACAAGTGACCTTTTTGAAAGAAAATATTACATGTTCTTAAGTACAATTCTAGGTAGCCTTTTGAGACCTAGTTCTAGGATAAACTAAATTGATGAGTTGTGTGGAGTGTAGGAAGATCTTCGCGTATTGCAGAATGTACTGAATGCTGTTTAATGTTTGTTCCTGTAAATTGTCCCCTTGCTTATTAATTTAAGTTGCAGACTGGTGCCTTCTAAGAATTTTTCCTCAGTGTTTACAGTATTTTTGTCAAAATTACTTAAATTGGTTGTTGTGGGACCGATGATGCGCAAAGGTAGATCAAATGAAGGATTAATTGAAGTTATTCTTCAAATTTAATGCATGAGTGCATGCGATTTTGCTGTATTATATAACATTTTATTACAGTCATAGTCTTGAAAATAATTATATTACAGAATATTGACGTTCTTGTTAACTTCAATTTTTTATGGCTGTAGTGAGGTTGCATTATACATACTAGCTTTATATACTTACTATTTAAAAGCAACTTTCAGCTGTGGTGTATTATATTCATGAAAAAGTAAGAACAATGTAAGGGCAAAGTAATGTTACTTTACAAATGCCCTTAGAGAGTAATTGCTCCTACAAAATTTTTGCAAATTAATGTTTCTCAAATTGGCACTTTTTCTGTGGTTTGTAAGTACTCACATCAACTTCTTAATTCTTCAATTATTTATGTGCATATTTTCTAGACATCACTGCCAAGTGATTTGTATTTTGCAAAGTAAAAGGGCTAGTTTTGCAATGTACTGTTGCATTATATTGGCTTATATCAAAGTTGTTTCTGCATATAATAATGATCATTATTGATGATGCTGCATATTTATGTTGCTGATACAATGTGTTGATTTGAAACTAGCTGCATACCTGTTAGTTAGTGCATGTAGATTGACGTGATGACTTATAACCACATTTGTAGAGCACTTTACCATTACCACTGATGATTGCAAAATGTTAGTAGTGCAACTAGCTGAAGTAACTTTCATAGATGAAAGGTGATCTCTGGAGAAAAGTCAGCGCCTATGTGTTAAATAAATTTTGCTTCTTCGTGATGATTGCTTAGATAATTTGATAAGATTTTTAAAATGGATATTGCGAAGGGATTAAATATAAAGCTTTGCTTTCTTTTATATTATTGACTGATGTACATATTTAGGGTAAAATGTAAAAGTGAAGGTTATTATTAATTATTTGGTTACTTCGACTTGTCCCCTGTTTTAGTATTAATATCGTGTGAGTGAGAAAGGAAGATCGCAGTATATATATATATAATATACATATATACATACATTACACAATAAGGTTTTAGGACAGTAAATTTTTGAAACATTTTTATATATAAGTAAGTTTTAACCTTCATTCATGGGTTCTTTATAAAATCTGTTAGAAGGTTGTAAGAGTGACTGATCTTCTATGAACTGGAAGGAGTACCTTTAATTAAAGGAAGAGAACAGTGCTTTTATTTGCATGCACAGTACAATCACGTTGAAAGCTTTTTTTTTTTTTGAAGAAGTAACAGCTCTATTGTACGTTAATGTATTTTGCTAACTGGCATTTCACTTTATGCACAATCATTTGTTTCTCCTTGTTTCTAATTCAATTTTTATTTGTATTGTATTCAAATTCAAAACCTTAATCTCTGTAGAGCTTTTTCAGAGAGTAAAATTAGCTAAAGATTTTAAAACATAATAGTAATTGCTTTTTATTTCTCCACCTACATTTTCTTTGCATGATTTCAGGCGGCTTTGTATTTATGAAAACAGCATTGCGAGTACATTAGGCCCCCAGTATTGCTTTTTAAAATGAAATGCATGCAAAAGGACAAGTTAAAGTAACTGGATGATGATAATAATCGTTTCAGTGGGTTCCATTGTAACTTGAAAAATTCATGTCCATAATGGGTTTCCACAAATTTCAGCCAGTTTTTTTGAGGGCACAATATATTAATAATGCTTATTTACAGGAAATCATTTTTGTTCCAATCAAAACAGAATAGGGGCCTAATGTTGTACTTGCAGTGATATGTTTTTATGGAATTTTCATCCCTATCCATTTACTACAGCCGCTACAAAACCTGCTCTTGACATTTGGCAAATTTTCATTGTATTTGGATTTCAAATAGGCCTTTTAAAACACTTGAAAGAACTTGTGCAGCAAATTACATTTTTGAATGAGTAGGTATGTTTTAGAGTTGTACTTTACTAAGATTTTCTAGAATTTAGTCCTTCAAAATGTCTTATTTTAAGATACTGAGAATGAATTGAACATAGAAATGTTAAAATAATCCAAGCTCCTAGAATTGGTTGTAGGTAGGTAGTATTGTAGGTAGGTTACATCGTGCACTTGATTTAGATACACGAATGTTCACATGGCCAATTAGTTACTGAAGAATGTCAAGAGCAGGAACAGTTCCTGATATCCCATCCATTGAAATCATTCGCAAAATAAGTTAATCAGTTAGAGCAACAGGTTTGTTGCTGGTGTTTAGTGGCTCTAGACCTATGTTACGTCCCTGTCTCGTTTGTCTCCTTCATGCTACACTGTCATCCATCCTTATTCCTCTTGTCCTTCCTCCAGGTTCCCCAACACTATCCCGCAAGAAGGGGCTCAAGAGCAACTCTCCCGCTTGTGCTAACACAGGGCAAGGTGACGGCGCAGCCACAGGAAACTACACAGGGGGCCCTGGGCCCCAGCGAGGGGGCAACTACTCTGCACCAAACCAGGCTCCAAGCTTTCATCCCTACAGACGCATGTAAGTTGTGCCCAGCGTGTACAGAGAGAGTTGCAGCTTGCCACAGACATTGATAAGAAGATTTGTAGTGTCTTCAGTTTTGGTTCATTTTGTGAAGATATCTTTTTGCTGTGAAAGCTTTGTTAAGTAAAGGACTGAATCAGATCAGCATAAAAGTGTCTGAATGAAATGAAGATAGGTATTGTGTTTGGCTGAGGCATTGTTTGTGTTAAAGCAATGCCAGGGTTAACATCAGAATACCTAGGTGCATGGAACAAAGTGCACTGTTATTTTAAAAAGTGAAACAATAGGGAGTCGTTTGCTGAAAATTAGTATGAAAGATATTATATAGACACCATTTATTTTAGTTGAATTATTTCTTGTAATGTGCAAACCGGAGAAATTAATTTTTTCCATGAGTGATGTGCGCTGTTTTCTTAGTTCAATTGAATTTGACCGTCAAATCTTCCAGATTGAGAGAGGTTTTAATTTGATCTTTGTTTTGTTTGAAGATTGTTAACCATTATTTCACTTTTGTTTTATTACAAAAATGTTCTTAACCTGAATGGGTAAGTGGCATTTTATTGCAAGATGCACGATAGATAATTCTCAATTTTGTTTGTTCGGTATGGTCCAGATAAATTGAACATTTAGTATTTACATTTGTGCACAAAACATTAATGGAAAAGACATTCCTTCCATTGTTGCTGTCCCTTTATAGTGCCTTTCGGCAAAAAAGGCTGATGTTCAGTAGTCAGTGTTTCACCCAACACTTTTTTCATCTTCCTCTACTGTAGTAAGTGTTGGTCTGTTTGCAATTTCTTTTGCCTCCATGTGTAGGCAGATCCATTACCAATGATAGTCTCCATATTGACTGTTGTGGATGTTTCATACATATATGGTTTAAATCTTACTGTTCAGATATTCATGCAATTGATGGGGTATATTTTTCCTGTTGTATGATCTGCTCCAGTGGGGTGATGGGTCAGTTTGGCTATAGATTCAGAATAGACCCGTTTTCTCACATTTATGTCATCTGTAAAGTTTTTATATATTTTATTGTATGAATTGCAATGCCACCTGTCTTTAACAATAATTCAAATGAATTTACCGACTTCAACTTCATATATAAAGGGTTGAATCCACTTTTTGTTGTTTTGTCATTATCTTAGAAAGTTCTAATGGAATAAATACCATTATCAGAGATTGAATGTTGTCTGTTGTGCTGTATTTTGTACTGCTCATAAACTTGCACTGAATAAATATCCATTGTATAGCTTGTTTTGTAATTGAACTGGTTTTTGTGTATTAAATACAGTAATTCCTTTCTTTAAACTTGATTATTGATAAATAACACATTCCTGTGAACATCCATTTCCTTGTTCATTTTAAGCTAAAAATATTGCGAAAGAAATGAGAGTACGTACATACATGCAATTATTTATTCTGGAGAATGTTTTCTTGTTAACCACAGGAGCAAAATGTCCCTTGGCTGTTTCATTGATGTATATAACTGTATGAAGAGAACTGTTTGTTGAGCATGTTTTGTGTGTATGTTGGGAGGGAAGAAAGGATTGATGCATGGAATGATAAATGGATGTATAAATGGAAGAAAGTGAAAGTTTTCCAGGGCATGGAAAGTGTTTTTCTTTTGTTTTACAAATATCTAGCAATTGTCTTCCTTTTAGGACCACCAAGGAGTATGAGACTGGCAAGAGATAAGCATGACTCCAGGCATCTGCCTTATTCATATCGGAAGGAATAAACATGGATGTTTTGTAAAAAAAGGAAAAAAAAAGTGGCGACAGTAATGTTCACAGAAGATTGTGCTATGAGAATGCTTTTGAAATAATTGTTAAAATTGTTTTTTTTTTTTTAAGAATTTGAAGTAAATCATGGGGAGAACAAATAAGATTTGATTTGTACTTTTTTTTATTGTAACATAATATGGTCAAGTGAGACTGCTCCACATGATTCCATTGAAACTTTTTTTTTTTTAGGAAGGATGGAATGTTTAATAAAGTTCGTTTAGTGTAGAAGGCTGGTTAGGTAATTTGTGAATGAACATTAAGGTTGAATTAAGTGTGGTTCAGTTACATAGAAAACTTTATTGGAGAGAAATTATCACTTTTGTACGGACTCTTTAACAATAAAAATTTTAAAAATTTGTTTATTACCATCAGTTATTCACATGATGGGATCAGTCCTGTGTTGAGGATGAAGCCTGGAAGTGAGAAGTCATTCCTGTGTTCTGAGAAGCAATGACATTTAGAAAGCTATGCTCACAAATATTTAAACTGGGTAGGTATGTGGCTCTCAAAGTTTGAAGCAAATTGTACATCATTAAAGTATTTTAATATCCACGTTTTAAATACTTGAGCACTTAGTATCCATTGCATCACACGTGGGCCATGTACAGTGAATGTAATTGCACAGCAGAAGGCCATCTATTTAAGGCCAGTAGAACAACAGCCTCAGTTGTATGTAATTCTTGGAAAAAGAGTCCTTATGTAACACTGCAAGTATGACATTTCCGCTTTCCCTTGTTCCCGTGTTCATCGTCTTCCATTTTCTTGCGAATGTTTTCTGCAATAGAAGTGAGAAGTTGATTTCTTGTATTTTTTGTTGTTCAAAAGAAAAGTATTATCCAAGAAACATGAATTTACGTACCAGCAACGGACTTCTTTCCGATAGCTACGAGACTGTCGCAAAGTTCCTTCATTGGGTTAATTTGCGGGGGAAGGCTGTGAGCCCAAATCAGCATCATTCGAAAACCATGTTCTTTGTAGCTGGACGGACCTGCAGACAGCAAGACAACGAATATGAGTGCAGAACGTACAATTTTCGAAAATTTGAAATGTTCAACGAATTCACCTTGAAGCGTACTTATCCGATTTTTTTCTGTAATACCTTATGAGTTTTCGATAATTTTTTTTTTAATTACGCTTATTTCACGCGAAAATAGCCATTCATATGTTGACAAAAAAAATGTTCATGACATATAAAAATACAATTTTGAACATTTCATTGAGAAAAAGAAACTATCTTAAAATATATTTTTAGGAAGACATTAAAGAAATTAGGATTTTTTCGAAAATTCAGGATTACAAGAGAGTTGAGCTGCCCAATCTTTAAAAGCTAACTTTGCTCTGAGAAAAAAGACAAACTGGGAGTCATTTATGGAAAAATTCTGAAAATATTGGGGCTTCCTACAAAAATGTTCACAAAATCAACTTTTTAAAGATTGATTTTTTAGAAGATTTTAAGACAATCCATATCTGAAATTTTGTTGTTTTGGGATGTTAACTATTTGCAATATTGAAAGATGGTTTGCGAGAAAAGAGACTAGCACCACCTTTACCGCCAATTGATACATACGAGGAGAAAATTTAAAGAAAAAATTAGAGCTGTTTGGGAAATTATTTAAAAATTGCCCATCTTTCACAGAAAACCAATAATTTCTAAAAAAATATATATCAAGGTATATCTTCAATTTTGGAGGAAGATACTGAACAAAATTTTAACTTTTGCAATCTTCGAATAATCGAGAAATTTCGGCTGAACGGTTTTTGGTGGTAGTGTTGAATGCAGACGGGTGGGCAGACATTTATCAATCTATATTTGGATATCAAGGCCCCTCAAAGCATGGATTCTGAGGTTGGAGAAAGTAATTTACTGTTTATAGGAACACAAGATATGTCCACTTTTTCGTTATGTGGGTCCAGCAATAATAGTTTTTCTGTCGAAAGTTTGCTCTTTTCCAGCGCACGACTACATTAATTTTCTTTCGCAGTAAGTTGAGAAAGAGAAAAGATCCGGGCGCGGGGAAGTTGATTCCGTCAATAAACTCATTCGTGCAGATCAAATCAAATTAAGAGAGAGGAATGGAGAGTAAGACCGGGTGAAATTGAATACAAATAAGATGTTCTCCATTATAATTGTGAGTTTGTTTTTCAAATGCGAGTCTGATTATGTATATGTAAACGCTTGGAACTATTAGAAATCCGTACATTGAACAAAAAACTGGGACCTCAACTGTTATGGTGATTAGTAAGTGTACGTTTTTATTTCGGGCGACCGGTGTCCTCTCGCTGGATGGTGAGATCGGCGCCGTTTATCAAGATGAATGCTTTGCAACACCGATTGCCTTTAACTCATTGGCATTCAACACCATTTTGTGGGCAATGCCAATGTTTCTTTAGCTCAATAATATTTTAACCTCACACTCATAAATAAACAATTTTCTCAAAACGAAATTTGGAGCCACATTTGAGAAAACGTCGTTTGAGCTTTCCTGAAAATTTGCACTTTTGTACTGATTTACACACGAGATCATTTAAGATTTCGATGAACTACTCGTACGTTGGCGATCTTTTGGCGATGAAGTATTTCTGTTCGGAAACGCATTAAATTAATAAATAATCTGCAAAGTACATAAAAATGGTCTGAGGGATGTTTGAACGTAAGTACATACGAGCTGTTTTTGAAAAATGGAATTTTAATGAAACGGTACAGAGCTATTGCAGGTTCCAAGTACGAAAATAGTTGAATCGGCCTAAAAGAGACGTGGTGCCCTGCCACCCATGGGCAAACACATTCCGGTACCAAGAGAAGCCGAAGATGCGGTGTATGGAGGCGGCCCCCTTCAATTCCGTGGACGGACAGTTCAGGACACAGAATGAGTTGAAAGGGTCCGTGGCCGCCATTTTAATGAATGGTTTGCGCGCGGGTTTCAAGTCTGACTGCAATTGCGCTTGTTTTCATAATTCTTTTTATTATTATTTTTTTTGGCGGGGTGGGGATGTAACAAAAATATAAAGTGAAAAAACAAAGGTGAATGGATTACGTTTGGACACATGTTTTTCTGTGCCATTTTTCTTCAACATTAAATGTGTGGAAGGTTTCGCAAAGGTCTTCAGCTTTTAAAATTAATTTCCATTAAGGAACACCACATATGTTCTCCTCGCAATATTTCGTCCTGAAGAATCAAACTGCGAATTGGTATACTTGAGTTTGGAACAATGAATTTGTTCGTTCCTTTAATGTCTACCGGGCAACTGTTAACCATATTATTTCAGTATATTTTCGCACAGTTAACCGAAAAGGATATGTTATTCTCACCGCTATCACACTCGCAACGATGTCTGTGAGGTGCGCACGTTTCCACTACAATGGCGGCCTTCAAATTATTACGCGTCAGCAGCGCTTTCAGGGAGTCTAGTGCAGGGGTGTCCAACTTGCAAGGAATCAAGGGCCACAACTGAAACCTGTAATATGGCTGCGGGCCAAATTTTCATTACGCGATTCAGACTTTATACCCCCTCCCCCAATTGTTTTCGGCACTTTGCCTGTTTGCTCTGAAGCGGGGGGGGGGGGGATATGGGTTACCGGGCTGTACGAGGCAAACACATTTGGATGATTTTGAATTTCTGAATTTACGAGAAAAATCTTTAAATCCAAATTAACCCATTTTTACATTAAAGGGGCAAGTGCGACATGGATGCAACGGACTTTTTCTTTTGTATAATAGCCAGGGCTCGGAATCTGATCTTTAGCACCGATTTTTCAATCGTCGGTTTTGAAAGGTCGATGATGTTACCGAACATCCATGTAATTTTCGGATTTTGATAAGCAGAGTCCTTTGCAGTAGTGAATTTCGTCATGAACTGATGATACAATAAAAAATTTGTTTTAGTGAGTCATTGTAAATTCATGAGACATACGCTACAAAAAAAGAATAAAATGCGCAAAAATGACAAAAATTACTTGGAGGATGCAAAAAAATACCTAAAAATTGAAAAATGGCAACAACAAAAAATCATTTACAAGTTAGCAACGTCTGCAATGCGCCAATGAAAAGATGACGTGTCATCACAATCCGAGACGTGGTAATAACCGTTCGCAGGCCGCCAGTTGCTTTCTATTGCAACGTGTGTGGTGGAGGCCGACCTGTGTACTGGTGCTCGATGGCCTTGATCTGGTCGTCGGTGAAGGCCCAGTGGTGCGCCAGGCGCTTCCACTCGCCGGCCGACAGCTGCTTGGACGCCACCTTCCACAGCACGTCGCGGAGGCGCTCGTTGCTGGCGTGGCCGTCGCAGCTGTGCCGCCATTTGCCCGCGCGCAGCCCTGCCTCGGGCGAGTCGCCGTCCTGCGAACACCACACGCTGCTCTGTGGACAGCGGTCCCACGGATACACTTTTTTTTCCCTGGAAGAGTGAAGGCAGACTCCAACAGAGAGCCGTAAAAGTGACAGCTATAGTGACGCTGCAGCTCCCTACTGAAGACTGCCTTCCCTCTCCTTATTTCATGCGTGACCTTGAGACGCCACGTTAAAAAAATCGAAGCGTAGAAATCCTGGTGGGGAACGGAAAACTCCCGCCCGGATGTCCAGGTTTCCAGGTGGCTAATTGACTGCGGTGGCAGGGCGGTCCCACGTATTTCTAAACGGGCAGACGTTTATGAGGAGCGTTGTACTGCGGAGAATCTGTATGCAAGTGGTGTGGGAGAAGGGTCTGGCGCCACGCGCGGGGAAGCGGTAGAACGGTAAGGGCAGGTGCCCCTGAGCCCTCAAGACCTAAGGCGGATGGGAAAGAGCAATAAGAACGTGGACGACCCCGGTCATGGCAAACAGCAATTTATTGGGAATAGCCACCTGACGTAGCCCAGCATCGCTGAGGATTGTTCCCCGGAAGAGCGACTTTGCAGCGACCATCGGACGGACCGGGAAACTCGAAGAGCACGGTGGTCAGGGGAGAGGGCGGGGAGCTACTAGCAGGGCCCCAAGGGGTTGGACTGGACTAGCGGGGTGGAGGAGTGTCGGTCGGGCCAGTTAGGGATGAAGAGAGGTCGGCAGGTCCAGTTTGGACCGATCTGAACTGACGGACAAGTGGATGGACCGTGCACATGTGCGACGAGATCACGAGTAGCATAGCAGACCCTGCCATGCGGAGTTCAAGCTGTAATGTTGACCTTTACTGCTGACACTTCTTTTCGCGGCGGAGCTACGTCATTGTACGCGGGTACTAGCTGTCTATTGCCTCGCGACACCTGCCTGACGTTACTTAGTACATCCTGAAAAAGATGATAAAAGCGTAAACGGCTGGAGCCTGCTTTGGGGCGAGGGAGATCTGCCTGGTTTGAAACAGGGGATGTCGAGCGGCTTTCTGTCCGTTGGCACATAGTACAACACAGTTACCGAATTTGTGTTGAGCATTGCTGGTTCGCGGCAGATTTTGTCCGGTTACTCGGCTTTCCGCTCTCATTTAAATAGTGCGTCACCACGGGTGAAATCGTATCATCACCCCCCACTTTTCCAACAATCATTTATGATCGAAAAGGCTAGGGACTGATAATCATAAATAAAGATAAGATTTCCCCGCAAATTAATATTTTTATGTCAACTTACTCCACTCCTCAAACTTTGTAAGCACGTGATTAATGGCGCGCTCGTCGAAAAAAACAAAAAACAAAAAAATTCCGCACATGTTTTCTTGTTTCAGAGATTTTTTGAAGAAATTCTTGCATAATGCATGTTCATAGGTTTCTCCGAAAACTGTGCCATAGTTCGACTTTCATCTAGCTTGATAAATAGTTTTTATTAGGATTATTACATGAATTATCTTAAGTTTAAAATTATGTATAAATAACATTGTGGATTGTGACAACGGATTGATACCATCGCTTCTTTTATTTATAACCAGTACGTTTTGAAACTGGGAAATGTAGAAGAAGACCTATTTTCATTCAGTCATTAAACATTTAAAGTACTTCTTTCGTGTTCGTAGCCAGTGGTAACTGAACAAAATGGGCAGCTTCACTGCGGGTGGCTGCGCACTGCCCGTCGCCCGACCACCGACAGGTCCAACTACGTGAGTGAATCTGCAAAGAGATACCAACATTCCTCCGTGCAATCAAATGCTATAAAGTCTCTAGTATTTGGTGCAATTGATTCCTTCGAAATAGGAAATTCTCAAGAAGCGCCTTTGCGGACATTCCACGCAGATAAATAAATAGAAACTTTGTATTTCGATTCCATTGGTATTCCTGACGAGGGTCGCTACATGACGGCCAACACACTATTCATTACAAACTAGTATACAAGCAACTGCCTGATGCATTATCACTCGGATAGTAAAGGCTCCGGCCACGGAAGCCTACGCGTTAATGTTCTGGCTTTTGATGTATGAACCAAAGAAATTGCAATTCTTTGAGTATTCATCTATAATGTAATGCGATAATAAAAGAGAATTTTCGACATTAAAAAGAATCGGACCCATTAAAGAATGTACCTGAAGAAAATTCGGAAAATCGTGAATTGTCCAATGCTACAAAGGGTACAAAAAAGAAAATGAGTAAAGTACTTAAATATGCTAGTGGATATTTCAATAATTTTTATTCTTAATTGTGCGTGTTTGGCTATTTTATAGCGCATGTTTGGATACATATTTAAAATTTTCATCTTAACAAAGGTGTGAACAATGTCACTGGGAACTACTCTCGATTCTATTGGATTAAAAACTCGTAGTTTTCTAAAGTTTGTAGACTATACCACTGACGTTAGTGCCGAAGGAGGTAGTGAACAGTTGGCCGGGGATCCCAGATCCTGGTTCCCAGTTGGGTTCCGATGTACAGTGGCAGTGAAGACCACCAAGGCATTTTTGACTAGGAACGTGCCCTCTTCCCCTGCAGTGATTAGTCTATCTTGTCTTTCTACCAACCCCAGGAGCCGGTAGCTTCGAAATCAGATGGGGCTGTTTTGAGACCTGAGAACCAACAATTTTTAAAACATTGCATGGAGGGCCGCAAAGACGATTTACGATTTTTCACAATGCCTGAGTCTAAAAGGAAAATATGAAACGTGAAAAATGTTACCTTGAATTTTCTATTTTTAAACTCTTTGATTCTAATCGTGAAAGGCTTTATAAGAGCTTTACCACCATTTTTGCAAGAAAAAGATAGTCCCGTCTGTTTCATAACCTTTCGACTTTTGCCATATGCTTTGTTCAGCCACTGCACTATCACGCACGCCGAATAACTTTCAAACTGATACGACAGCACTAACGTTGCTGTACTCGCTTTTCACACAAACATCCTTCGGGGGAATAATCTGGAGTGACCGGAAATATTGTAGAATTAGATTATTGGTTTGTTTTCCTCGGTCAAACATGATTGGAATCATCGCAGCCGTCGGTAGTCCTTCATTGTTACCTTACTGAACGGTTTCTTCAGTATGGGTTCGTAGGCTTCCGCGGCCGGAGTCAGCTATATATATATATAGTTCACACACACACACACACACACACACACATATATATATATATATATATATATATATATATATATATATATATATATATATAATGTGTGTGTGTGTGTGTGTGTGAAGAAGGCCACAGCAAGGTGGCCGAAACGTCAGTACAATTGACCGAGACGCGGCTTACCCGGATAGCCAAGAATGCAGTTTCTTCGGTAAGCGTTTCTATCACATGCAGTGTCAGACATTCTCTAAGGCCTTCGAAGAAATGTGAAAATCAAAATATTAATTGCAATATCCAAAGAATGTTCAAAAGTTCTGCGTTTGACGTTCGCAGACCGCGGGTTGCGTACGACAGTTCCACGAGGAGGGGCGCTCAACAGAGGTTTTTGGAGGAATGATCTTCATGAGACATTCGAGGGATGGCAGTTCTGGGGAGGGGGGAGCATTCTGTACAAAAAATTGGGACTACCTCTTGCCCTCCAAATCCCCTTATATACTGGGTGATACACTATTAGTCACATAATACACTCATGTGTACGATAGACACAAAGTATTTGTTGGGATCGCTGCCCTCTGCGGTTCCCGCTTCGTAGCCACCGCCAGCGTGGGGACGAGGAGCAGAAAGTCGTACGAGTGTAGCTTGAACGTATCGCCATCGTGCGTGGGCTCCAGGGACCTCACCGGTTGCGGGTAGTCGAGGCGCGCCGTGCGGATGATCATGTCCACGATGGCGGTGAAGCTGCCCCGCGCCGCGATGTACAGCGGCGTCTTCCCGCCCTGGAACAGACGCCGCGCGCCAACTTCAGCTTGCCTCGCAGCTTCTCGTAGCGATGCGAGTTCACAACAAAACATCCACCCGAAACCAGCGATATTTTAAAATTGAATAAGTAAGCTTTGAAGTTCACGTGGAGGAGGTTTAATTTGGAAGTGATCTCGTTTATTCATTTTTAATTGATATGTATCTAACGAAACAAAGTCAAAAATCATCACGCTAATTAACAAAACTTTATCTGATTCAGTAATAAAAAAATAACTTTTTTGTATTTTTCACTTCTGTTTAAATTGAACTGAAGAATATCCAATTTATGGATATCTGAAAATTATTGTAGATTTTTTTTATGATGGTACTTTTTTCATAAAAAAATATCAATCTCGCAAAAACATGGATTACAGAACTTAATGTTAAAAAAATAGGTTTCAAAATATCGATGTAAAAACATTGCAAACATCGACCTGGATGTCACATCTCTAGCACCTCTTAGGACGGGCCTGCTCAGGGCGGTCGTTGTCGTCTCGGCAGTGCCTCTTACCGAAAGGGCTCCCGAGTGACGGATTGAAGGAGAGGGGAAACTGCACATTGGGTGAACAAACACGTGGGTATATCAAAGAGCCATTTATTAAATTATAAAAACAATAATATGAATTTATGATTAAATAAAAAACAAATTTCATTAATTAACTAATGGCGTTTCTGCTTTGATCTTGAGGAAAGTGTTTAGCTGCGTAAGAAATTAAACCACATAAATTGTTTAAACAAAATTTTTTGATTCAAAATAAATTTTAATTTGGCTCCCTTTCCACAGCACAACGGAAAATGTGGTTTTTACATTCCATTTTATAATTTATTTACTTAATGTACTTTTTAAAAAAATCATATGATTAAAAATTTAAAAAAATATGATTCAAACTATTAGGATTCCAAATTAAATTAAAATAAACTATTTTCCCCAAAATAGCATTTTCTGTATTTCTTGAAGTAGCAATTAGCTTTTTGCATATTATGTGTCATTCTTCACATTTGCAACTATACGGACTGAGTTAATACGTATAGACGTGTTCATGTAGGGACTTATATTTTAATTTATTGGCAATGAATGGACTTCTGTAACATGAAATTCGAAAAAGATAACATTCATGTAAACAAAACAGACTCAATGTAAAGGGATACGATGATGTTTAGTCGTTTGTCTCTAAATAAATATTGGTCAATCTAAGAACTTGATTTTTAATATGAATGTCAGAACGTCAATGAAGACGAAGGAATGTTTTTGACGATTAATCATTCCATACTAATAACAACCATATAATTGTCACCTTTCCCGTCATCTTGTTGGACGCGAGAATTTGTTTTGCAGTCGTAAAGAAATCCAAATTGTGACCATGTTAGTGAGTAACAATACATTTCAGTAATTAAATTTCATCAACGAATCCTGGTCGGGGTAACCAATTCTTTGAACAAATTTAATAATAATAATAATAATAATAATAATAATAATAAATATGTCTGTTAATGGCGAGGTTCAGGCCGTAGGGCCTGCTCTTCCGCCTAACCACTTGCTTGAAGTTGAAACATTAAGTAGGGGATGGCAAGCCGTTTATGTACGACAGGGAGAGCAAAACAATAGACCATCTTGGCATAACGGGATTATAATGAGGCTCACCTGCTCTTTCTGGTCAATGTTTGCTCCCGCAGCCAAAAGTAACTTGCAAATTTCCACATAACCCAACTCGGCTGCGATGTGAATCGGTGACTGCAGGCGCTGCACAAACGAAAGAAATTGCACATAAAATGAATCGCCAAATGCTTATAAACTCCGTTCTGAGCGCCCACCCAAGTCATTATTGCATGATTTTTACGTTCTCGCGTATTACATACGTAGTCAAGATAAAATTAAAGCCGCAGCGGTAAGTGATGATTTGTCTTCAGAAAATCTTGTATTGTTCTGATATGAAAATAATATGAATATATCTTATTCCTATATATAGTAAAATACATCTTATTATAACACGTTGTGTAGTCAGAATCCAAGTTTTGTGGAACTTTCATACCGGAAAATTGGTTGACGGCAAAAGTCTGTCAGTCTGGCCGCCCGTCAGTGGCCAACGCAGCGCTTAAACCGTTCCGACGATTTTCTCAGAAATTGATATTCCCTAATCGATCAGAATGAACTCGAGGCCCTGCGAATTTGAAAAGGCTATTTTTATTTTAGAGGGTACTTTACATACAACTTTAGCGACTTCAAAAATGTCTAAAAACATAATTTTTACGTTCAAAAACAATGTTCTCTGTGAAACTAATTGAAATATGCAATGCGAACGAAAACAGTGAGAAGGAAGAAAATTAGATTAGCGGAATATCAACAGTGTTATCAAGAGTGTAAAAGACCACTAATTTTAGACTGCGTGAAGAATGTCTGCCTCTTCCTAATTGTAAGGTAAAAATAAAGGGGTTCAAACAATTAAGGATTGTCAGAAAAGAGAACCATATCTCTTGTTCGTATGCTCTTTGTACTTCGCATAGTTTGTGAATAATGTATATTTACCGTATCTTCATATTACCGATAATTATTATGAGACAAACATTTCATACTTCAATGATTTACGACAGGGTCTTTGCAGATGGGTCATAAGATCATTCAAAGGGAAATGTTAGTGTCAACTTATTCGCAAAGGCGAGTAGGAGGGGGTGGACATAGCTTCAATTTTGCGGAGGCATTTTATCAGCTTTGGACCTTACACATCAAGGATTAAAACGGGGAGCAATCGGGGATAAAAATAAGTCTAGGATGAAACGAATTTCAGATTTCAATTTAATAATTTCGTTGAGGGAGAAACTATTCACGTTTCATGACGTTGAAAATTCACGGACGAGGGCCCAATGGAGTTATTTCACGTATTCTGAAAAAGCAAAGAACCACCACACAAATAATAATAATTATTATGATTATTTATTTATTTTTTTAAAATGTCCGTCAGGTGCTCTTTTGTCTCGTCAACGCTGTTCGAAGTAGTCCAAGTAGTTTGTGCAACTGGAAGTTTTCCGTGATATTAGAGTTTGATTCCCGGCTGGGCAGCTAAGTCTTTGAACACTCAAAACATAATTGATAATATAAAAAACCATAATAAATATTTATTTCTACTTTTCGAACTCGTAAATTGTTTACATCAAATACCACAAAAAAAGGAGAAAACAGAGGAGCTCTATCGCAATTTTTGGAATATTGAAAAAACAGTGAAATATTGACAAACCAAGAATCCTTTCTATCCTTACGTCAAGTATTGAATCCATTTTGAAGACTATTCATTGAAGCCTGAAAGACTTAAATCTTCCTGTATACTTATAGAAATCTGTAAATCTACTATAATCTCAACGAGTAGAATAATCAGGAAATGTATGTTAATTGAAGTCATAAATTAGATTACTTTTGTTTTACCGATAATTTGTTTTGAATACATTTTGATCTGCACAATTTATGTTTGCAATATATAAATTCCAAATAAAAATAGTAATAATAATTATAATAAATAACTTAGAATTTTCTCTTTTCTGAACTGCTTATTAGTTAATGAACATTAATTAACCCTGCGGCACTCGCGGACGATTTCTCAGACGACTGAGCTGTTCTTCCGTTGGTAGAGTAACATGAACATTTTTGAGTACACCGTCGTTCTTCGAACCTCTCTACTATTGTTCTCAGATATCATAGCTACCAGCTCGCGCCAATAGGCTTTATGCTGTCGTCAGAATAATCTGAATCAAACAGCACGCAACGCAGCATACCGTAGGCCGTAGAACAATTTAAGCTGATATAACTTTTTAATCTATATTATGCTCTTATTATTGATAAATATTGTGGTTTAATGTGGTTTTAAAGTTACGCAAAATTGAAGTGACGCATCAGAGAGCTCTCCGCGTGTGCTCGAATAACGTTGTGTAGCGCTTGTGCCGCAGGGCTATTGCATCCTCGCTCACCGCATTGAGAGCGTTGAGATCTGCGCCCTTCGCCGTCAACAGCTCCACCGTGTCGCGCTCGTTAGCCTGGCATGCCAGGTGCAGCGGGGTGCTGCCGTTCTGAAACACGTAATGGCGCGCATGCGGTAGGGAGCCGGTATTCGTTCGTCCACAAAAAATAGAAGGAGAATAAATTCCATTTTCTAAATTCCTAGGTTGCTGTCTACGCAAAACGCTCGACCTATGTAGTTGCTTGACTCAGTCGGCAACTTTCATTAGGGAAGTTAATGCTAGAATCAATTGTCTTGTACTTGCGTGTCATACTTTGCGTTTGTCGGCTGAGTCCACCGGTAACTTTAGGTTGGTTTCTTAAGTTGTTACGTATTACGTTTCAAAATCCTTAAGATGAATATGATGATCGCTGCGGCCTGCTGTCATCATTCGCACCTTCTGGATCTTTGCTTTGCATTTCTAGAGTGTGACGAAGCTCAACTGTAAACTTCAGAAATGGCTTTTTCGTTCAGAGAGTAGAGATGAAGTCTATCAGAAAATGATCACAGAAATGCATAATTTCCAAATTAACTGAACTTTTATTAAAGTGAATTATCTGACATTTCGTTAATGGTAGTGCATGTCTTGGTCATTGGTTTGAAATAAGAGAATGCGGTTAAAATTGTTACGTGAGTAATAAATCATGTTAGAAAAAAAAAACAGCAACGGAATGTATGTCGTTCTGATTATATTTAGCGCCTGAGAAAGGTTTTACGGAGACTCAAGAGGTAGCGTACATGATAGGTTAGTTTGTTTTCCTGTGGACTTTGATAACATTTGTGAGACTAAAACCCTGCCGACTTTTACCTTTGGGGAACGTGAAGTGATTGCATTCGATTGCAGTGTGCATGATGAAATCTGCGCATTCATTGTAGCTCTGAGACTGTTCGCATTACACTGGCCGCTTTCCTGCGTGTGCGGCAACTCAGTTCAAACGCGAGCAGAGACCAACAAGCTAGAATATCCTACTTAGAATGGCTGATCCTATGGTTTTAGCGTTCTTGCTCAACGCTGCCATGTTTTTTTTATTTTATTTATTTATTTATTTTTTTAGTAAAAACCTGGCAGGTCGGTAATGGTTAGTGATGGTGGCGTGTTGTTGGCATCAAATTTTATTTCTATATTGTTTGCTTTTCGTTTATCTGTATTTAAGTTATATTAGTTGAATAATAATATTCACAATGTCTTTAGGATGTTCGGCATATAACTGAAAAAATAGAAGTTATCAAACACAAATATATCATTTTTGATACGTTTGTTTGCCTCTGCAGTAAAATTAATTTTCAAAATAACATTTAAAAATAACAGATGCAGGGCGCAATCGCAAAGCAAAGCAGTGTATTTAAAGTTTCTCAATTCGTTCTCCTAAAATATTGTCATTCTGTTTAAATGAGGTGCAAAGGCACTTCAACCACTCCATGTAGTGTATTCTAGCTCGTTGGCAAAGACCTACATTCTGGCAGTGGAAGTCATTTTGAACATTTGAACTTATGTGAACATTTGAACTTACGTGAACATTTGTGAAGTGTCAAGGGAACAGAGCGCTGAAACTAATAGCGTGTTCGAACCCATATTGTACTGGACTTTTTGTCTACTGAGTAGAGAATAAAGAATACCTTATTGCAACTTTGCCGCTGAGTTTTGTTATATTTTATACATGAGTTACTAGGTTGCTTACTGTTAACTGGCATATAAGATACATAACTTGAAAAACTCCACGTGTAGAGGACAATTAACAATACAATCGTAGTGACAAGACAATGTGAATGCTGAAGAGACCCATGTGTGTGCGTAGCATCGCCTTGAGTTTTATCTGACTGCCCTGCGAGAGACGCCGTGCCTTGTTTCGAGTCTCACCTCGCTGCGACAGTTGAGGGCGCTGCCGTGTTGCAGAAGCGCTTCGATTATCCCGCGGCAGCCCAGGCTGCTGGCCACGTGCAGCGGCGTGAAGCCTTTCTGCAACAAGAAAGGGCGACAGTAGAGTTGGCGTGGGGAAGGCTGAGCCCTCCAAGGGACGTCGCAAAGGGAAGCGCCGCCGATGCATCAGAGGACTCGAACCCAGCATCTCTAAGTTGACGAAAGTTCAATGTCGGCAACACGTGCGCAGTCACCCGGTTATCCAACTTGCTCTGCAAAACTACTCTGCTTGATTAGTTTGTGTGTACGTGCCAGTGGCGTAACTAGGTAAAAAGGGCAAGTCTTAAAGGCTTCCACTAGCAGGCGCGAAAGATACGCAGCGGATGCGGCGCGGAAAGTTTCGCGCTAGACGATGCGGTGGAATCCGCGGGTCCATTCACATCGGAGCGTCAATTATGACTCAGCGTTTAGTGACAGTTTTCCTCAACCGGTAAACAAAATACGCTCGCTTCTATTTATGCAGGAGATAGAAAATTCTAATACACGTAGTACGTTTTCTGAGCACATGCGGCACGGTGCTTTTACCTTTATTTACAATTTTCTATCTAACTGTTAATATCTGCTTAGAAAACTAAGACTAGGGGTCCATTATAACATAAAAAGGAAAAAATACGGATAATTATATACCTTGATGTCACCAAGGATGAAAAAGTCAATTATATTTACTGAAATGACCAGCGACTGTTAGTGACAGTAACTGACATTACTAAAATGTACAAAATTTTGGGAACAAAAAATTAATTGAATGCTAATTAAAATTAATTAAATTACTGAATACGATTAGAATATGGCGGGTCGTAGCCTTGGTTTCCACAGCGAAACTCGAGCGGCAGTTTTACTCGAAGGCAAGGGAGCTCGACCCAGAGAGTAGGGAAGACTGCCGAAGGCGGGCTGACTTCTACGAAACTCGAGCGGCAGCGCAAAAAACGCGCCCGACTGCGTTACAATCTCCTGCCGCGCAGGTTTGAACGTGCTCATAAGGCAACACGTGACGCGAAACTTCCGCTGCGGCCATTCCGCCTTTAGGCTCACAGAGACCGGCGCGGAAGATCCGCATGCTTAGTGGACTGGGCGCAGCGGATGTCGCTCCAGTGTTTTGTTTACTTTGCAGTACCCAGCTGCTTTAAAAACAAGACTTCTTTGCGGGCCAGTCAATTTTGCCGCACGCTTCCCGCAACGTCACCCTTTGCAACGCAACAAGCAGAGCGAGAGGGCGCGGGCGGTACCTTGTTGGCGGGGTCGGGCGGGCAGCCGCGCTCCAGCAGCAGCTGCACGCAGCGCGTCTGCTGGTTCTCGGCGGCCGCGTGCAGCGCCGTGTTGCCGTCGCCGTCGCGCGCGCTCACGTCCACGTCGCGCCGCAGCAGCAGCTCCACCATCTCCACGTGGCCCTTCTCGCCGCCGCGTGCAGCGGCGTGCGCCCCTTGCTGGCGCACGCGCGCAAACACCATCCGCATAGCAGCAACACACTCACAATACATATATACATATATGTATCTCTCTCTCTCTCTCTCTCTCTCTCTCTCTCTATATATATATATTATATATATATATACTATATATATATATATCATATATAGAGAGGAGAGAGAGAGAGAGAGAGATTGGTCGCGAATTGGCTAGCTGGACCACGCGAACTAACGCCTCCACTTACCGAGGCTCACTAACAGTGGCAAGTGCATGTCATTCCTTTTTGGGGGATCAGCATCCCGCCGAATCCAATTTTTATCCTCCAAGGTTGCTAATCCTGGGAGGAGGGGATATGGAATGATGATGATAATAATGAATGAATGAATGAACGACACGCACATTCAGACATACACAAACACGACTAAGCGCGATGCGGCATTCGAACCCGCGATCTTTCCCTTCGAGATCGCCACGGCACTAGTGCCTTAGCGATCTCTGCTATCCGGATCGGCAATTATTATTATTATTATTATTATTATTATTATTATTATTATTATTATTATTATCATCATTATCGCAAATGATAGAACGAAATTAGTAGAAAGAAATGGGACCTGGGAAGAAACCAAAGCTTATTGTTATTCGGGGCTTGGTAACGTCGTGTCTGCGTTGCAGTCAGAACATCGCAATGAAAGTTGAACTCAAAGGACTTAAATTCTATAGTTCGTGAATCCAGATCAGCCGTTTGTGGTCGTACAAAAGTACAAACGCAGATCGTATCATTAGTCGTTGGAGCCTTGGAATTTGTTTTTCGCAATTTATGTATAGATAGAACGCGTTCAAACTCCCAAATCATTGAAAAGCTGGGAAATGCAAGACATTGCTAGATTCTTGGTCAATCGTTTCGTCCTAGATACAGTTGCCAACATTTTAATCGACCTTCATCACGAACGAATGTCTTTCGGCAAAAAATACAGGGAGAGGAAAAGGGGACAGTTGGAGAAGGGGAAAAAGAAAGAATGTAGTCACTCAGTAATGATGTCGTAAAATTTGACCGGTGAATATCCGAGATTCTGGGTGAAAAATTTCGATCGTGTTGGGATTTGCGGTTTATAAATGGGGATTTTTGTCTGTAACGGGCGTATTCATTTACATCCTCCACTTAAGAGTACTTCATTACCTTTCCTTTGATACAGACAAAAAATATTACGTTTTCGGGTTTTTGTTGAAGAGGAAACGTATCTTTTTAGCACCATTTCTAAAATTAATAGGTTTTCTTCTTATTTTGACGTGGAATAAAGAAATGCCTTGCATGTCGCTACTCATTTGATTTATTGAAAAATATCGTCTTATGATTTTGTTGTACTAACGCATTTTGTCAGACCACATTTATTGTATTTGCGCATTCTGTCAGACTTACATCATCGCGAAGCAAGACTTTTTTCTGGTAAGATATTTGCGGTACGCAATACAAAAATGCTCTTAATCATTGTCATTTGGTCGGAATTGTGAAGAGAAGCTTAGACTCCACTTCCAGTGAAATATCTGTGTCACATTAGAACTCTACTCTCCAAATCATTTTTCAAGTTAAGCACAAGTAGTTATTCATCTTAAAGAGGAAAATTCGCGCGAGTAAGGCACAGACTGAGCCCCTAGGAGTATAGGAGTGTGGCGTGCAATGTGGACATTAGCAGGAGCGATGCGAATTAATGAAAGAGTGACGGAGGTGAATGCAAGGCGTGGGGAGAAAGGCAATGAAATGCTTGGTGAGAAAGAGGTGATTGAACATTAACAAAAGACGTAACGATGAAAGTGTGCAAAATTCAAGCTTACGCATATACACATTACCATGATCTGAGAACAACTCTCGGGTATGGCATCAAAATTTAAGGAACTTGAGCGTCTGGGTTTGACAGAAATTAATGTAGTTTGTACGAGCATAAATTACCTATCATCATTTCTCGTGAATTTTTAGCATTGGACGACGAACTCCACGTAGACGAAGTAATTATCAACTAAAAATGTTCGCGTCTATTTTACGTAATGCTGTTTGATTGTATGTGGAATTTCTGTTCCAAATATTTATTGTATCAAAATCGATGAGTGGCTGTGTTAAAATTTCCTTTCATGATGGACGTTGCAAATTGTATGAGACCCTGAAAATGGTTCACGGTCATTGTAAATCCATTCGTACACAGTTGCGTTAAACAAACATGTTTACAATCTCACGCCTACAATAACTTTTCCTTTTATATTACTCTACTGGATAGGCAATTGTTAACGAGAATGCTGCTCGAAAGTGTCTTGCTTTAAGAGGCCGTCGTAATGAATTAAGTTGTAGATTTTCTTATAATAATTTGTTAAAAATATTTAATTAACTTTTAATTTTTTTAAATTAAAATGTTAAAGAAATTCTGTGAAACCAGCATCCGTGACGAGATTAGATTATTTATAACCAGAATGTTTTGTAATTTGACATCTTCCAATTTCACATTTTGTTTCCATTTATTTCATTATTATTTTAGAGGTGCTTGTGTAACGGAAACATTTTTGTTTATAAAATGTAATGTCAATAAATCAAATTATTACTATGATTGAATTGATCTACAAAATTAATAAATGATCTTTTTATTTATTAGACACTATTGGCAAAAATAATGCTGAACAAAATCATATATTTTTTTGTATTTTTCTGCCTATCTAACAAAACTATAAAAACTTCTTACACCTCTTAAAAAGCTGGAGGGTGCGTAATTTTCTTTCATATTCGGCGTGCACTAGAAATAAGTAATATAAGTACATTTAGGAAAAGGGCAAATAAAAACTTATTAAATTAATTATAAACGAATATATTAAATTCTTTTGTAAATTTACTTCTCACCATGAAAAGATAATTTGGCATTTTTTTTCACAAAAATAATAAATTAAATCAATTTGGAACATGAAATAAAAATGGACTGTTCTGTCAAATGCAAAAGCACCATATAAATCGACCCGCCACAACGACTTCGTTCGCAAAACCTGCACATTTGCGTCGCTCTTGTAGAGGACACATTTGTCTGCACTAGTGCCTCCCCTCGGAGCCCTTAGGAGCGTTAACATTTCGATAGACAACCTCCTATGTAAGAAAAAAAAAACGGAAAGAAAACACGATTTTTGATGTTAATAATTCACATTGGCTACGTTTAGGCATTCTGCAGCTTCTGTATAATAGTATTAAATATTTGTTTTAACATTTTTGTGAAAGCACCTTACGAAAGCGTCCCATGTAGTTCTTACCACATACGAGATATTCTGTCGTCAATAAATTGTAAATGTCACATTGAGGTGTTTTTTTTTATTTTATACTTTAAGACCACAATTTATTTGGCTATTTTCTTACCAAACTAAACCGCAAGCAAAGTCTAAATCATTGGTACTAAAATGTAAAAATTGTGAATTCCGTCACGTAGGAGACGTCGAAGGGGGGCGGGGAGGGCGTCGCGAGGCGGGGGCGCGGCGTACCTTGTTGCGCACGTCGATGCGGGCGCCGGCCTCGAGCAGGCGGCGCACGGCCGCCGTGTGGCCGCCGGCCGCCGCGTGGAACAGCGCCGTCTGCCCGTCGGCGTCCACCACGTCCAGGCGCGGGTTCTCCAGCGTGTCCAGCAGGAAGTCCAGCACGTCCAGCCGGTTGTTGCGCGACGCGCACATCAGCAGCGTGTACTGCTTCTGCGCACGCCCACAGCCATCACACAAGTCGCACCCTCGCCCCCGCGTCTCGGTCTCTCTTTCCACACGGGCATTCGACACGTGTGCATTCGTGCGCTCGCTTAACGTCTACGCACACCCAACTACGTTCACCCAACATCCGCGCCTACTCGTTCGCCCAATATCTGGGCACATTCGCTCGATCGCAAGCACACACTCGGTCGCGCAGCGTCTGGGCACGTACTCTCTTCAACACATTTTTGTGAAAATGTGTTTCTTGCTTACGTGTTCATGCACGTGACCGCTCTACGCACTATCGTTCACCCAACATCTCGGCATATTCGCTCTGCCAACGACTTAGCACACTCACTCGCCTAACGTCTGCAAACGTGTTTTCGCTTAACGTCTGCGCACACTCTTTCACCCAACTTCTGCCCCCACTCTCTCGCCCAACGAATGGGCACATTCTCTCGTTTAACGACTTGGCACACTCGCTTGCCCAGCATGTGCATACAGATCTGTCCTGAAGCCGATCAGGTTGAGACTTTAATTTCGAGGCGTTGAGGGGTGACTTGATCGAAGCAACTCAAAGGTCTCCGATGGCACCTTCTCAAGATTGAAGCAAAACTTTATCACGTTATAATACGACATGCAGTCCTCATCAAAAGCTTTCTGAAGCAACTCAAAAGTCTCCGATGGCGGCTTCTCAAGATTGAAAAAAACTTTATTACGTATCGCTGCTCGAGAGCTTTTTCCATCTTCATGTCGACCGAGCACTCATACGACGCTACAGGGGCTCGAAGCCGATTGGCGCAGATCGCGCTACGTTCCGAATACATCCTTCAATGCAAGCCGCAACGCTGTTCGACGGATAGTCGCGGCAAAAAAAATCTTATTTGCGGAACAGGTCGCATTACCATCGGGAATCTCGTACCTTATACATTTCGCACTCCCAGGGGAAGACTGCCATAAGTCCGAAAAAATGAATTTTGAGTTATTTGTTATCTAAACAGTCTGCTAATGAAGTCCGTGTCCTGGAAAAATGCCACAGCACTACTCGTAAAGATGACAATTCTTCCGCAAGTAATTCAGTTTTCCTCACACGGAATTCTAAACTATTCAAATAGAAGAAGATCGCCACATCTTAATTTTGGACGTATTATTCTAATACACATCGCGGGCATACAATCATACTAACAGTTATGGAAACTGAAAATCCATATAAATTCAACCACATGGCAACTGTTGTTTTGACTTGATACATTTAGATAGTCAAATGGGTAGAAACTTAGAAAAAAATGAACATGGAGAAAAAGTTGTATGGACTGGCAAAGGTGATGCAAGCAACGAAAGATACACCATTCATTCTAGAATATAAAACTGCGAATGGGGAAGAGCTCCAACAGATCAACACTACGCAACGGTGCAGAGGTCTTACTCAGGATACTTGAATTTGCAAAAGGCTTGTAAGAAACTCTGAATATCTGAGGCCAAGAAGGACTTCGTATTCTTATGTGATGCTAACCACATTTCTTCTCAGTTTTATCATTACAGAAAACAAACGATTGTGAAACATTGTAACATGGAACTGGTCGTATAGGTGAAGTCTAAATCAAAATCGTTAAATTGAAATAATTTTGTACTAATTTTGTTTCTATTATTAAGTTAGTTTATTATGCATAGTCATCCGAAGCATATCGTATGCATAGTCATCCGAAGGAATTAGTACTTTATTGTACATTATTAAAGAATGTTAAAATATTAATATACATTATTTTCACTTTCCTGAAATAATGTTTATTATTTTTTATATTCTCTGTAAATCTTTACATACTTCTCCTGAACAACGGCTCATTTTCCTTGTTGCAGTCTTCCACTGCGATGTGCTCACTCAACTTCTGCGCACACTCGTCCGCCCAACGTCTGGGTTCATTCGCTCGGTTAACGGACTGGCACACTTGCTCTTCGAATGTCTACGCACACGAGCTTTCTCAACTTCTGCCTGCTGTCGCTCTCTCAACGTCCGTGCACACTCAACTTCTCATCTTTTTGCATGTGAGGCTTCCCGTCATTTAAAAAAAATCATCATTTTATTGAAATCAGTTATTTAATGTAGAACGAAATTCATAAGATCATGATTATCTTAAAATCACATACACACGCGCGCGCGCGCGCGCGCACACACACACACACACACCACACACACACACACACATATATAATATATATATATATATTATATATATATATATATATATATATATATAATAAATATATATATCCATCCTGCACTGACGATATTGAAAAGTAGGCTGTATTCAAGTAATTGAAATCATTTTTTCGAAATATAAATTTGAGTAAGAGGTGTAAATAATTTAAATTTTGCGGTGAGGTTATGGCTCAAAAATTCTATCGTTTCAGAGAAAAAATATGATACACAATGCGTTCTCCGCCACTATTTCTTTTGTGCAATCAGAAAACGTAGTCTGCTTAAGGTTACCTTTGCAGAGACTCGCCCTCGCGATCATTTGCCTCCACCTGAGAATCCTCCACCTCCAGCAACGAGTCCTCACTGAGCACGGGAGCAGGGGCGGGGGGGCGGACTGATGGCGTACAATGGAAGGTAAAATGCGGCGGCGGCGGAGGCCTGGCTAATAACATTATTATGCAGACAGCAGTATTATGCAGGCAAGGCTCGCTGAGCGTTCTCGTAGACAAATGCTCGTATTATCTAGAACCCTCGTAATGTATCTTTTAAATTTTTCACCTTCTTTTCGCCTTCATTTTCTTGTACTATAGTTCTGTTTTATCTTTTTCACGCTCTACGTACTCGTAGTAGAATATTTGATGAGCGTAGACAATGGATGGTAAGGGAACCGGTTCATCGCGTCATTGCATGGCTCCAAGGGTGCATGGCATTATGGGAAGAAAACAATCGCGTTCCATCCGTGATTCATCGCTTCCACTCATGCAACCAACCAGAGCAGACGGTGTCTAGACTTCTCATCCTAGAAGAAGCCTTGGCCGACCCCTCAATTTTGCCGAGTGATTCTAAAAGATATGTAACGATCAATATGGTTAAACTCGAGAGTTGTTTTTATTTTTGAGCGAATACGTTCAAAAACCTTTTCAATATTTGCTTTTTTTCCTAAGTTAAATATTATTGCATGTTGCAGATGACGGGAGCTCACCATTTACCATTTACGCCTTTTCTCTGTAACTCCAACGCATGCACGTTTCGGTATTACGTGCAAAATTGTAAGCGCCAAAGTGGAAGCTACGTTTTGTAATAGTCGCTCTAAAGATATTTGTTAAAAAATGTGACGCAGGAGCATATTTTAAAAACACATATTTTGTAGAAACGAATATAATATTTTAGGAATGTATATCTGTATTCGTTCGCGGTAAACACATCAAACTGGGCCGCTCGTTGTGTAGGACAGGTAAAGGTCACGCCACGACAGAGACGTCCGCGCGTTTTCTGCAGAGCGACTTACCCCCCCCCCCCCGCCACTTGACAAATGAAGCAGCACATCTTCACGCGAAGGCATTGCCCTTCAGGAGGCCAATTCATCTGTGCCTCTTCTTTGTGCCTCTCCTCGCCCCGCCCTCATCCTCCACGCCCCGCCTCGCCCCACCCTGCTCGGCCCCGGCCTTTTTCGTCACGAAGCTTCGTCTCTAAAGGCCCATTCACAATGCAACATAAACATAAGCATGGCGTTAACATAAAAGTGAGGACTACTTCCATTAACAATGCATTCGCATAAGCATAACACGTAAGACGTGAACTTAAAAGCTTCCAAGCTCCAAGCTTCTGTGCTTATGCTTAAGTAAGACATACGAAATGGACCAATCACAGAACGCTAACTCAATATCAATTTTAGAAGTCGATGGACGAACTAATACTCTGTGGGCCATGGACTCAGTCGATACCTCAAAATCGATTCTCAGATCCAAACATTAGTTAACTATAATATCTCACATCCAATATAAACTCTTATTTTGCCTACGTTTATGTTAGACATTGTGTATACTTCCGTCTATCACTTATGTTAATATTTACGTCGGTGCGTTATGCTTGTGTTTACGTTTGCATTATGAAAGGGCGTTAAATGTTCGCGCGAGAAATCTGTGCAATCGAAAACCTTTAAAATGCGAGCGTTTGCCAGCAATTTAACCGTCGCCATTTGCATACGAATCCAAAGAAAAAAAAATGCGGTTGTGTCATATTTGTCCCGCGTTTGAAGCTAGTATGTTAGTTAACTTTCTGAGCCAAATAAATTATCTGGTTTTGATGTATTGATCAAGATTAGAACAGGAAGTATAAGTGTGAAAACTTCAACATCATTACCACTCTTATACATAATAATAATAATAATAATAATAATAATAATAATAATAATAATAATAATAATAATTTGCGGGTTCGAGTCCCACCTCAGGCATGGGTGTGTTTGGGTACGTCTTTATGTGTGTTGTCCTTTCATCACTATCATAATTTCATCTTGCATACCCCAGAGCTAACAACCCTTGGGGATAAAAATTGAATCTAGCTAAAACGCTGATCCCATGATAAAATTACGTGCACCTGCCACCGAGATAATTTTACTGAGCCCCGTCTGGATCCGCCCCTGCTAACGCCGGTACGCTAAGGCCTGTAATTCCATTGCTTTCATGGCTGGTTAGAACCGCAGAGGCCACGTTATCTCGCCCGCGGACGTAGAGTCAGGGGTGGGGGATGAACGGCGGCGGCGGTGGGAACTACACGCGCGCGATTCGGCAGAAACAGCGATTGAGGAGTGGGGTGGGGTCGAGGCCGCCGAGGGCTGGCGGCGGGTCAGCGGATGCGGCGGTGGCGGCGGCGCGGAGCAGGGGGGGGCGGGTGGAGCGTCAATTCCCGAGCGCTGTCGTCTGCGCGCGACAAGCAGTGCGACACCAAACAACATCGATCGGCAGGGGCCACGCGCGGCGCGGCGCGCGCGGCGACGGCGACGCGGAGTATTAGGAAGCAGCCGCGCCAC